CTTTCAGGTGGTCCTTCTGAGGAAACTTTAAGAGCTATAAAAGAAAACTCTTTGCAAAAAACATGGCATGATTCAAAGAAAAATAAATAAATAAACAAAAGAATACGGCATGATTTAAATGTATGATTATTTTTGTCATCCTTTGATCAGTGCTGTCCAATAGAAATAAAATGTAATCTGCATGTGTAATTTAAAATTTTCTGGTAAGCATGTAAAAAGTTTTTTGTTGTTGTTGTTGTTGTTTTGTTTTTTTAAAAAAAAGCAAATCCAGACTTCTCATCCTGCCTTTCACAATCCTATGGAACTTGGGTCTCGTCTACCTCTCTACACTCCCCTCATCCCACCCTCACCTTTCATCCTCCTCCAGCTACATAGGCCTCTGTTAGACCCCTGAACTCACCAAGCTCATTCCTACCTTAGAGCCTTTATCCAGCTGATTATGGCTTCTCACTTACTGTTGAGTGTCTATGCCCCTCATGCAAAGTCAGGCTCCCCAGGAGCAAGACACATACCTGTCTTGTTCAGTACTATATACCCAGCACCAGAAGAGTGCCTGGCATGGGGTCGGTTGATTAGAAAGTATTAAATGAATGAATGGAGCCAAACCAGGTGACCCTAGTGGGCAGACACTTACACTCTTGAGTAAATATACCATATGTACTTACTGAGTGCCTACTGTGTGCTAGGTCCTGTGCTTTGTCCCAGACAGAAACGATCTAGATATATATGGAGTAATCATCTCCAACTCTCCAGGAACACCCAGATAGGGTTGTTCTGAAGCGAGTGAACTATCAAGAAGTGACTGTTGAGTCACACAGGGTCCTCACTAGGTTGGGTGGGCTCCTTATGATCTGAAAGGCAATCCTGGGTTTTCCATGGGGTCAGAGAATGACTTTGGAGCCCCCAATTCCTCCGGCCCTCTGAATGAGGATCATGCCGCTGCCCATCTCTGTGTGATACACCCTCAGCCCATCACCACAACCACTAAGCAGTGGCCGCTGGCTCAGTGCATAGTCTTGCACCAGAACTCAGTCAGGAAATGAGGTGGCAGAGTGAGCACTGCTCCTTCCACCAGGTGTCACCCTCCCCCTCCCCTATCTGGCTGGAAGTGAGGTAGCCCTTGGTGGTTGGGACAGGGGATTCCCTGCTGTCAGAATTGCAAGAAAGGTCAACACACTTTCAAACCTGTGAAGAGCTCTCTGTGCCCCAGTTCACAAAAAGGAGCAGGGCATTAGCTAGAGGTCACCCTAGACCATGAATTTAGATTACCAGGTTAAAAAACAGAATTTGGAGCAAAGCCAGCTGCCCAGATGTGTTGTCTGTCGCCAGTTGTTGAGCTGTACGCTTACAACATGTGCACTTTTCTATGAGAAAGACACCCGGGAGCCTGTTAAAATCACCCGCCTGACTATCCTCACGGGTTCTGCATTAGAATGCTCTGGATATGCCCCGGGCATCCACTGAAGTTTTGAGGCTCCCATGTGATTCACATCAGCATCTGGGTTTAAGCACTGAGATAAGGAGTGTCTGGGAACTCTGTAGTAGATGCAAGAGGGCAGGGTGCAGGGAAGGGCAGGGTGCTGAGGCAGGACTCCAATCTCACCTAGAAAAATGAAGTGTCTGAAAATCCAACAGATTGGTAGATTCATCGCTCATAAAATGTCTGGGTGAAAAAAATAAAAGAAAGATAAAAAACAAACAAAACAAAACAAAAGCTAGCATTTTAAAATGTGAGAAGCAGGTGACTGGCGGGGGTGGGGGGGTGTTGGAATATTGTAGCCCAAAGGTTAATAGCCTTAATATTTCTAAAGAGCTCTTAGAAATCAATAAAAAGATGAGCACTCAATAGAAAAACAGACTGCAGACATGAACAGGCAATTCCAGAAGAAGCAATACAATGGACCAATACACTTATGAAAAATGTTCAGCCTCATCAGTAATCAAATAAATGCAAATTACAACAACAAAGAGACGTTATCTTTTGCTTAGCTAATTGGCAGAGATGAAAGATATGATAATACCTCCTGGTGGTGAGGCTGTGGAAAAACAGGCCCCGTCATTCACTGGGGGAGTGCAGACTGGAGCAGCGTTTCCAGAGGGCAATTTGGCAGTTCATGAAGCTGAAAAGACTATATACCCTTAGACGCAGCAAGCCACTTTTAGGAAGGTGGCCTTAGGAAAGAATTGTGGATAATAACAATAATAACAGCTGACCTTTACTGAATGCTCTGGGCATGCCAGGCTGTGTGTGCATTGTCTTCTACTCCTCACAGCCATCATCCCATGAGGTAGGAGCTATTATTTATTACCTTTATTTTATAAATGAGGAAACTGAGGTGTAGAAGTAATAAGTCAATGACCTAAGGACACAAAACTAATGAGTAGCAACACCTGGATTGGAACACAGGCAGTGTGGGTCCACTCTTACAGCTGTGTCCATTGGTCGAGCAAGGAGATGAAGCCACAAGGATGTTCCTCTGGGGATATTGGTGGTGGGAGGTGAAGACATGTTGACTGCCTGACAACAGGATTCAGTTGCATACATTTTGATACAGCTGCACAGGAATATTATGCAAGGATGAAAAATGATTTGGTGGAAATATGTGTGTGAGTTCCAGGGTTTTATTTTTTCATATATGCTTAGGAGATCTCTGAAAGGATATCAAAGGAACTGGTACAATTAGTTGCCTCCTGGAAGGACAACTGAATATCTACTCTGAACCTAGAGGGGCAGGGTATGACTCAGTTTTAGGTATTCTTTTACAGTTCTTAAATTTTGAATTGTGAATATATTATCTATTAAAATATATATTATGTCTATAAATATATGCACAGAGAAGTTATGTTACAGAACTTGTTCCACATAATTTTATTTCCTTGAAATGCTGTTAAGGGATCCAAGAAAAAAAGTTTCAAGTTCCTTACTTAGATAATCTCACTGAAGTCAATAAAGACACTTCATTAGCCAAGTTCATCCCATGTTCCTCACAGAACATTTTTTCTCAAGTAATGTCTATTTTCATCTCTTCAGATACTTGTGTCTCATAGAATTCAGTTTGGTAAATGTTATTGTTAGTATTTAACAGCAAGGTGTAAGGATTTACATTGTTTTCTTAAATGAGAGAAATGTGTTATTGGCCCTGATCCCATTTTGTTTAAAATTGTGTGTGTGTGTGTGTGTGTGTGTGTGTGTGTGTGTGTGTTCATTCTGAGTACTGGGATAATGGATGATTTTGTTTACTTCTTTTTACTCGACTGTTTTTTAATTTTCTAAAATGAACAAAATTATTTCACAAGAATCATTGCTTAAGCCATTCTTTTTTGTGGTATTGGGTGTTGAACCCAGGTCCTCACACACCCTAGGCACGCGCTCTAGGCTATACCACTGAACTATGTCCCCTGCCCTAAGGAACATATTTTTAAATGTTTTCTTTTGAAGTTCCCTCTGGCCCTGGCACCTCATGCCCATTGACTTTGTACTGACAAGCAACAGCTCAGGGTTAAGTTCAAGGAGGTGCCTCCTACCTCTCACTGGCCCTCTCTGCCTGCCTTCCTCCAGAACCAACTCTGGCCCTTTGTCAGAGCTCTGAGCTACCAAGAAAAGGACCAATGACCTAGACAGGGCCAGTCAGTCTCCAGACACTTCCTGGCCCTCGAAGACCCTCCCTTCTGCTATTGAAAAAACTTGAACCAGGGTCTCCAATCCTCAAAGAGAGATGAGGCTGCAAAAGTCTACACTAGCCTGCTCCCAGCCCGGCGCATCACAGATTCAGAAACCGAGGCTTTGGTTCCAACTCTGTGACTTCCTAGCTATGTGGCTTTGGGTCAAGTTTCTGAACCTCTGAGTCTCCTCTTTACCATCAATGTCAGTATGACACTTGTCTCACAGAGCTCAGGGACCAAATAAGAGTATGCACGGAAGTGCTGCGTGTCCTATAAAAGGCGAAAACTGATAGAATTTGTTATGTATCTCTGCAGGGAGCACTGGCTGGCTTGCCCTCACCTATCTCAGAGCAGGGCACCTTTTTTCCCAGTTTTATTTTTAAGGCAATAGGGAGAGGAGCAAGGAGGCAAACCATTGGGCATGTGGAAACAGAATGTGTTTAAGAATAAGGGGGATTGGTGGCTCAGTGGTAGAGCACTTGCCTAGCATGTGTGAGGCACTGGGTTCAATTCTCAGCACCACATAAAAAAATAAAATAAAGATAGTGTGTCCAACTACACAACTAAAATACATATTTAAAGAAAAAAAGGATAATGGGGGAAGCCTCTCAGCTTGGTGCTTACGGCTTTGCATCCTCAGTCGACCTGTGCCCACCAGCACAGTCCATGCCTAGTCACCCCACTCCTCCTCACCCATTTGCCAGCCCGTCCCAGTGGACCACACAGGATCTCCCACAGTGCTGCCTCCGCCAGACTTCCCTCTCCGCATCTTCCAAAGCTCTTAGCTTAGGGAACCCCATTCCCAGCACAAGGATGACTCCTCCGGGCTCCATTGTTATCAGATTACCAAGACCCATGCTGTGATAGCAAAACCAGGTTTTGGTAGGCTGGACTTCCTGGGAGGGCTAGCCAAGTCTGTCATCTTGGCCTGCCTGTGTCCTCTGGGACAGACTTAGGGCTTAGGGACAGTAGAGATCATGAGCCCTGGGGCCATGATCTGGGTTGAACCCCAGTCCTTAGGGAAGTGACTTTACTCTTCTGAACCTCAGTTTTCCCATGTACAAATGGGTTTAAATACTTCAGTAAGCTCATGGGGTTATTGTGAAGATTTTATAAGCTCACATAAAGCTCTTAGTACCATCCCAAGTATGAAGGAAGCCGATCTCACTGCAGACTCTAAATGCAGGCAAATTGAGCTAAACAATGACAGCAGGAGGGGTGACTTCCAGGCTCACCCTCCCCTCCCAGTCCGAGCCCCCGTGGGGAGCCCTTAACTGCTTATGCTTGATGCTGCCTCCACCGCCACCACACTCATGCGCTTGCCTTGTACCCCACAGCCACCCGGCCCAAGCTGAAGAAGATGAAGAGCCAAACAGCACAGGTGGGTGAGAAGCAGTCGCTGAAGTGTGAGGCAGCAGCCGGGAACCCCCAGCCCTCCTACCGCTGGTTCAAGGATGGCAAGGAGCTCAACCGCAGCCGAGACATCCGCATCAAATATGGCAATGGCAGGTGAGCAACATCAGCCCCACCCTCTGTCCCCTCCTTCTAAGTAGGAGGGGCTGAGCTGGCGGAGCTCAGGGATGTGCCCCAGACCCAGCATGGAGCCAGTCCCAGCCCCTCTCTCTGTTCCCCTTCCTTGCCACCCCCAGCCCCTCTCCTTGCAGTCTGGGTGGGCCCTTCTGGTGATGCTGAGTGGGTGAATTGCACACCGCAGACAAGAATTAAGCAACCAATGTCTCTGGATGGTTGGAGGCAATTTGATTGTCAAGGTCAGCTTTAAATGTAGAAGTCCTTGCTTATCCCAAAAATTTCTCAAAAGACACAGCACAGTGTCCAAAAGCCCCCAAATCTGGTAATTTGGGGTGAAAGGCCCTGCTTCCAGAAAGCCTGTGGGAGGTCACACAAGATGAGTGGCTGGTCTCTAAGCTCAGCTAGCTATCCCTTGTTAGAGAGCTTGGTAAGGAGAAAGGGTTTGAATGGTGTGAGGGGAGTCTGAGCCTCCTGTGATATAAGAATTTTCTTTAATCTTCCATCAGCGCTCCAGGGGATGGACTCAGAAGCTCCCCAAGTATCGGGCTGGGATTTAGTTTCTCATCCTTCTTGGGTTGGTCAGGCAGGGGACTTTGGGCACCAAGGGAGCCAGGATTCCATGAGCAGCCCCCTCGTCTTTCTGCAGGCTAAACGGATTTTCCGTCTGACCTTGCTCTGTCAACCCTCTTAGCTAAGGAGCACCCCAGCCTTCTCTGTCCCCACCTGCAGAGGAGCTTGTAACTACTCCCTTCCTGGCTGTCATTTTTCTCCTCAACCCCCACCACATGCAAATGAAAAGGATTTTAGAGAATGTCTAGCTTCACCCACAACAGAAAGTGATGGAAGGAAAGCCTGGGCTCAGGCCATACCTGATGTAATTGAAGAGAGGTTTGGTTTAGATCAAAGGTTTCTGTCTGACAGAATGTCACTTCCTAAGAAAACTGTGGTGGCTAGGGGAGGGGTGGAGGGTGTTCCCGTGTGTCCCCAGTCTACAGTGTTGTCAAGAAATTCAGGCACCCACTAGCTCACCTGAGATCACCCCACCCTCTGCCCACTGCCAAGAGTGACTCCAAGCTAGAGAGGAGAATGAACAGACGTCTTGAAGCTGGAGCCGGAGCGGGTAGGACCCTGTCTCCCTCCCATCCTCTCTGTCTAGAAAATGGCCTCTCTCCTACTTCACTGAGAGCAGAAGTCAAGAGAGTGCTCATCCTCACCCTCCACATTACTCCCAAGCTCACCCCCCACTGCCCATCCCCAGACCTTCTACCTGACCCCACCCCATGCTGGCCCCAGGCTCCCTTGCGCACATGCACACTCGCCCTGGCCCCGCCAGCTGCCTCCTCTCTCTGGTAACTTCAGCCTTTCTGTCCCTGCAAACTCACTACTGTCACTTCTCTTCTGAAGGCTTTCCTGATGGGGTGCTGTCTCCTCATCCTCCTCCAACTGTTGCCCCATGTCTCTTTTTCCCTCCACCACCGAGAGCAGTCGCCGTCCTGCTGGAGTCTGACTTCTCCATGTGTACCCAGCCTCTCCATGGCTGAGGCCCTTGAGAGACCCCACTGACCTCTGGGCTCCCTAACCCCGGCCTCCAGGCCTCCCGGCAGCCCTGACACAGGCCATCTGCTCCCTTCACCCTGTGGGCTCCCTCTGTTCCTCCTGGGAGTCTGACCACTGAGCTGCCATGATGCTGGCTTTCCTGTATGTTGGGCTTCTCTCCCCCACCTCTCCCTCTGGAGACGGAGGCCCCAAGCCTCCATCTCCAGGCTTGATGGCTTTTTCTCAAGAGTTCCAGACCCAGGCCACCAGCTCAGCATTAGACACCCCCTCTGAGTCACCTACAGGTGTTTCAATTCCAAATGCCCCAAGCCAGCCTCGCTAACCTGGCCTCTCCAGCCCAGCCTCTGCTTCCTGTGCTCCCTCTCAGCTGTGCACACCCAGTCTGCCTGCTGCCCATCAGCTGCCCCCTTTGCCATCCCTGTAGGAAGTCCAGATCTCTGGGGGGGTGCCCTCTTCCCTGCCTGTGCATTTCTTTCCTGGCTTCTCTGCCTCCAGCTGCTTTTCGGCCACTCTCCACCCTCCGGGCTGCAGGCCTGCTGTGAAATCACTGCTGTGTGCCATGTGCACACCTTATCCGCTATGTGCCAGGCACCCTGCTAAAGGCTTGAGATACACTGGTGAAAGAAACAACATGGGCCCAGCTTCCAGGGTAGACCCGGGTAAAATCTCCTTCCTTTCTTCATGAAAAAAAATGGGCCTTAAACACCCAGTTTTGGAGGTCCACAGACCCCCGTGAGTGCCTACAGGGGATGATCTTTAACAGGAACACCTGTGATTGCTCATTTGTTACTTCCTGGATCAGGAGAACCTGCAACATGATGGGTACAGCCTTAAGGCTTTTCAGAGCCTTCTGTCTGCATATCACTATCCCCCTGTTTCCTGACCCACTGCTCTCCTGACCCCTGGTCTTTATTTTCATGGCACTGGTCTGTTCCCTGTGCTTGTCCCTTCTGTACCTGGCAAAGTTCTCCAAGGTCCAGCTTAAATGTCATGTCTCAGGGACACGTGCCCAAGCCCTCCAACTCTTGTCTCTTCCAACAGTGCCTTAGATATGGCTTCATTGCATTGTGGAGGGATCTGTCACTGCTAATGTGAGAGAGACTCAAAGACTAGCCCCCCTTCACCCACTCTCCCCTGTGGACCTGGTACAGATCTAAGTTCAGTGTTGAATTGATGAGAATCCTGCTGGGCCTCACCTCCTGGGCGTGGGACCCACTGTGGTTGGGCAGGAGGCCTTTGAGTTGCTCACCCTCTGAACCTGATGCTTCCTGGGTAAGCCTCAGTTTCATCTGACAAATGGGTGACCCAGTCCAGCCTGGTGAGGTCTTCCCTTTCGTATAGTAGGCCCCAGACTCTGAAGTGTGCCCGAGCCCCACCTGTCAGAGCCTTATCCTTTGTGCTATTCTGAACAATCCTTGAGTCACCTGCCCTGCCTCTAGGATCCCAGAAGTGAGTCGAAAGTGGTAGAAAAGTGCACTGTAATTGGGAACTTCTGATTTCCTGTTACCAAGGGCTCCTCAGGAGGATTCTGATATTGCTGCTGCCACCTCTGCACGCTACCCAGCCCCCTACTATACACATCTTACCTAGCATAGGGGCCAGGGACAGGAGGCTTCTTTCTGGAAAGCCCTTCTCTGTCCTCGCAGCCTGCCCTGCAGTAGCCTTCACAGCCCTCCTCGCATATGCTCCACCTGCCCAGGCTGTGCTCTGTCTTGGTGTCTCTGTTGGCCTGCAGAGACCTCCTCCCCATTGGTACCGTCTGTCTCTGTGCCACCACACTGCAGTATCTGACCCAGCCTTCCTGTGCCAGGAAAAAACTGCCCCCTCAAGCCCTGGGCGCAGGGCCCTCCCCTGCAGAACCGCGTGTTCCCTTATTTATGAGGGGCAGGCTAGAACAGGCCCCTTGGGCTGGCAGGGGGGAGGCGCTGAGGAAAATGTGCAGCCGCCCAGATCCCATTCCTGCCAGCAGAGAACCAGCTGGGGAGGGTGGGGATGGGCACCCTTCTCGGGGCAGACCTGGGTCAGCACGGTGATGGGGCACCAGGAACAGATAGCATCCTACTGCCGGGAAAGCCAGAGAGACTGTGAGTCCTTAGGGACGGCAGCTGGAGCTCACAGCAAGGACAGAGTATAGTGGTTCCAGCAACTGCCAGGCCTGGGAGACCCACCGAGCCCTCCTTCTCATCCCACCCAGAGTCTCTGTGTCTCTGGAGCCCACCTCCCTGAGAGCCATGTGTCCCCAGTAAACCAAGATGCCTGCAGCTGGCAAACCCGGAGAGTTGTTATCACCTCTTTTTCATTCCTCTAAGGGGCAGGGCTCTCCAGGAACCCTTCCTTCAAGTTCCAGCTTTCCCCCCTCAAATGCCCTGAGCCTCACTCAGCCTTGTCCTGCTACATATGATGTCATGCAAGGGAAACTCCCTTGAATGTGAGTGTGAGTGACAAAGAGGGTCTGGCTCTTAGTCCCCTCAGGTGATCCCTGCCCTCCTTGTCCAGTGCCTGGAAGTGAGAGCAGCCTCGTCCCAGGGAAGCTGGGCTCTGTGGTGTCTAATTAGGCTAGAGCAGGGAAGGAGAAGCCTTCTCAGTCAGAGGGGCCTCCGGGGCTCTACTTAATGAAGGGAACAAACTTTAATTGACAGAAGAGGGTTGTGGACAGGCACCAGGCCAAGGAGACAAAGACTTGCTCGAGCCAGGAAGGGTAGGGTATATAGTCCAGCAGCTGTCACCACACTAGTGAGGACATCATCACAGCAATAGGCTCTGTTGACAAGACAGCTTTGCAGCACCTTCGTTTGGGAGTCTTGGGGTGAGGACATCTGGGAAGAGGTCTACCTTCAGAAGAAAGCAAGTCCAGGAAAGAGGTCCTCAAAAGCATAGGCCAAGTTAGGGACTGTGGGCCAGTTTGCATCTCTATGGGCAAGCCTCTCTGTTCACCTGCCCTTGCCCTCCTTACCCCAACAGTGTCCTGGCTCTGTTTTGATCCCTGGGGTAGGGCAGTGACAGCGCTACTACACCCTGTCCCGTGAGCCATTATCCCTCCAATCCACTACAAATATTCTGGGAATCTGTGTTTTTTGTTTATTTGTTTGTTTTGTTTTTTAACCAATCACTAAAAAGGAGACGACATCATGTAAAGACATTTCCATGCTACTTCTTACTTGCCCCTGGGGTCCAGGTTGGGACCTGGGCTTTTTTCAGAGCTCTTGCTAGCCCCTGAGAATACTGGGGCAGATGGAAGGATGGGAACTGGGAACAGACACTTGCAGAGCCTAGGCATGCTGGGATAGGTGCAGGGAAGCTCTGAGAAGGGAGGAGAGGTTTGACCAGAACTTCAGAAAGAGGGGACCCAGGGCTAGGTACACTGCAGTCACAGCACTAGGGGCGGGGCATGCAGGGACTAAATGAAGAAGGGGCCTAGCCCCAACTTCAGATGCCCAAGATGCCGCATGTCTCCACTAGCTACAGAACCTTTGCCTTTACCTTGCTGGGTGACCTTGGGCAAGTCAGGAAGCCCTCTAGGATTTAGCTTTCCCATCTATAGGAAGAGACACCCAGTTCAGCCCTGGGATCAAGTCCAAGATCTTTTTGTTGCTTGAAGTACAAGTTCCTGGCACACAAAGGCACTCAGTAAGCATTTGTCAAATGAATTAATAAATGAAACAAAAGCTCCTTGGAGAGGTCACAGAGTGCCCCTTAGTGGCAGGGCTGACTGGAAGGCAGGAGAGAACCACAGGTTTGGACTGGGATCTGGGCACAGTTGTCAACTGATCCTCTCAGAATGGTGGCTCTCCCAGGTATCTGGGTGTCTGAGTCCACTTTCCACTGCTATAACGGAGGGCCACAGACTGGGTAATTTATGAGCAATAGAAGTGTTATTTGCTCACAGTTCTAGAGGAGTCAAAAATTCAGAAGTTACATCTGGAATGGCTTTCTTGCTTCACCGTAACACGACAGAAGGCGTCACATGGTGAGAGAGGATGAGGGGACTCAACTTGCTTTTATAACAAACCCATTCCCACGAAATCAACGTTAAGCCACTCATGATGGAGCACTTGTGACATTAACCCCCCATTAGGCCCCACCTCCCCACACCATCGCTTTGGGGATTAGTGAGCTTTGGGAACACATTTAAACCATTGCTCTGGGAATGGGTCCTACGTATCCAGCGTGACAAGCAGCCATTTCTAAGGAAGGTTAAAGCTGCTGAGAATGAAGATGTAGCCATGTGACTTCCTAAGGGGCCTGGCTCTCTGCCCCCAGAAAAATGTTACAAAAAAGGCCCAGCCTTGGGAAATTAGACGTGAGAATTCATAGATTTAGAACATGTGTGTAGCCATTAGCCCCAGCCTGGTTTGTCCTGAGGGCCCCAGTCTGCCTCCAGTTCCAGGGCTTCAGCATTCCTTCTGGACCCCAGGAACGGCCAGCCTGAGGGTATCTACTTTCCAGCCAACCTGCAAGGCCACTGTGGGTCTGTGGGGAGAGGTGACTGTCAGACGACTGCTGGGGAGCATCGTCGCCGCCTCCCCCCAGCTCACGCCTCTCCCCCTCTTTTCCCCCTCCCTAACCAGAAAGAACTCACGACTACAGTTCAACAAGGTGAAGGTTGAGGACGCTGGGGAGTATGTTTGCGAGGCTGAGAACATCCTGGGGAAGGACACCGTCCGGGGCCGGCTCTACGTCAACAGCGGTAGGTGGCCCCTTGAGCTTGGGAAGGGTCCCTGAGGACTTTGGCAGGGTGGATCAGTTGCCCCCCAGCCTTCAGGAGGCCCACACATGCTCCATCCTGCACTCGACTCCCCTCCCTTCTGCCACGGCCATATCAAACCCCAGATCTCAGCCGATTCAGAGAAATGCAGTCGAAGCATAAATGTTTAGCTTTGTTATCTGGGGCTGGAAGAGCCGCCAACTCTCATTTTAAATACCCTGAAAACTAAATATTTTGAAATCAAGAGGTGGGGGTGGAGGGAAGAATATTTTTAGAAGGCAATTATGGGAGGCTGGGTTGCCCGGAGCGGGGCTCGGGGAGAGGCAGGCCCCGGGCGCTGCCAGCTGCTTGCCTGTGGATGCTGCTTTGCGGGCACCTGAGTGCAGGAGGTCATCTCCACGGGGCCAGGGCAGGAGGACTGAGGGCTTGGATCCCCTGAGATAGCCTCTTTGGAGATGGCAGATTCTCCCACCAGACATCCTCTCTCCTCCAAGACTACACGGTCAGGACCTCACAGTGCTCCTGAGCTTCTCTCTGCAGTGGCAGATCCAGCTGCAGAGCAGAGGGTGCCTTCCTGCTGGGCTGTCCTTTCCCTTGACTGGAAAGGCACCTTTCTTCTCTACCAATGCTTCCCGTCCTCATGCAGTGCCCTCCACTCTAACCCCAGTGCACCAAATCCCACAAAGAGCCTTCCTGCTCCCAGCACCCCCAGACGGAGCATGCCATTCAGACACCTATTTATTGGGATTTGCTTTCAGTCATGCCCATCACAGAATCTAATCCTGTATTTATTGTCACCTGTTTTCCACCAGACTTCCAATACTCCCAAACCCTTCATTACCTAAAAGAGAACTTGTAACATTCCCCGGTCCGTGGCCCTCAGATGATAACCTAGCCAGGACCCTCTCTGCCCTGTCCTGGTGAGGGACAGCCCTGTTCTCCCAGCCTCTTGGGCTCCTTGCCACTATCCAGTCTGGATATTTCTCATAACTACCCCTTCACTCTAAGCCCACCTCAGGGGCAACCCTGGCACAAGTTTCATCCCTAATCACTTGTATCAGAACAGTGGCCTTTTTAACACACATTCATTCAACCATGTCCCCAGCCTGTGGAGCCACAGGCCGGGGACTCACTTATTTGGCCCATGATCTTCCTCTGCAGTCTCTCCCCTTGCCATCCCATCCTTATTCCTTCTCCCACACCAGCTCTCCCCGGCAGCCTTCCTCCTAAGACCACCCCAACCTACTATAGTGTCCCTCCCAGCTCGAGCCCCAGAGGCCCAGTAGTATCTTTTGAATTCAGATCTTAGATCATTCCTCAGGTCCCATTCTGTTGCTGAACTTTCTCTGTGTGCACTCCAGTGGAGGGTGAGCCTCAGGGACAGGGATGACAAGGACAAAAGAAGTTATGATGATAGCTACTATGTACCAAGCCAGACTGCACATTATTTCATGAACCCTGACTCAGGCCCAGGATGTATTTTATAGGTTATGAGAAGCTCAGAGAGGCTAAACATTTTGCCCAAAGTCAAACAGCTAGTTAATGATAGAGCTGTACAATGTAAAATTCAAGGCAAACTTAGCCATGGAGCTCCATGGGGGGTGAATCTAGCCCCGGGGCCTGGCACAGTGCCTGACTCCTAGTAGGTACCCGGTAAATGTTATATTAAAGAACTTACAACCTGCTTCAAGGCCTTCACTGCCTTCTCCATGTCCCAAGCCAGGCAGGGTAGCAGTAGGGGTATTTGCATCTCCACTTCTCAACCTGCCCCAAGCCTGGGGCAAGAGAGTGTCTAGCACCTGCCACCTGTCATAGTGAGCAGACATCCACAGATCCACCTTGGACTTGAAGTCTCCTTTTTATTAGTCAAGACTTTCTTGGTTAAAACTGACATGAATTCAAGTTAAACCTACCTTAAGGAATTCATTTATTGGCTTGTAAAACTGGGAAGTCCAAGAGGTCAAACTGGCCTCAGAAATGAGAGTCTAAGAACAAAGAGGATGGGTCAGGACACTCTCCCTCTGTGTGTCGGCCTCATTCTTTCCAGTTCTGAAACAGCTTCTCCCACGTTGGGGGAATGGAGTGGGAAGAAGAGGCCGTGGCCACAGACAGCTCCAGGCTTACCTCATCCCAGCCCGCCACCTCGGTCTCTGGTCCACACATAGATCACGAGGATGGACTCTGATTGACCCTGATTAGGTCATGTGCCCACTGGCCCTGCCACTTGTTCAGGCTGGAGGGCGCCGTCTTTGCCAGGCTTGTCTGTGTATGCAGGGGGGCTCCTGAGAGGCAGAGTGCCCGAACCATGGCCCTGCCATACCACATGGAGAAGCGTTCCCTCAAGGGGTGCTCTTCGTGGAGAGAAAAGGTAGGGTTGGCATGCAGAAAGTCACAGCCATGCCTGCTCTGCCACACTGGGCTTGAGACCTGAGATTGGGAGGGTTGGGAGGGCTCTCAATTCCTTCCTGCAACGGGTCATGCTGTGATCCTTTGCAGAACCAGAGAGTGGAGCCTTTGGGCTGGGCCTGGAGGGCAGATCTGGAATCCAGTTGCCCATAGGGTTCCTTGCCTCAGTGCCTGTAGCCTGGCGGGAGGGACGCAGGGCAGGGCAGTGGAGCGTGGAGAGATTTGATCTAGTCCCAGCTCTGTGTCATTCAACCCAGAGCATATTGCCCAACCTCCCTAGTCTTCAGTTTTCCCCTCCTGAGGCTGATCTATAAGCCTCTTCCCCCTAAAATTATGAGATTCCTGGTGATCTTCAGGCTGATGTCCTGTGCACCTAACCCACATGCAGGCGGAGTACACACCTCTTCTGCTGCCCTGTGCAGCCCATGCAGGCAAGAGCCTGCTCTTCATGTGGGGAGCTGAACAGGGCCAATGCAGGTGACCAGAAGACTGGGGACATTTTCACAGCCAGAGATGCCTGGCTCCTTGTTTATCCACAGAACCCAGGAGACCTACAGCAACCACACCCTGAGGAGGGGGCGGAGATCGGGTACAGGCCCTGCCTGCCCCCCTCTGACTCATCCCTAGGTGGGTTGGCTTGGCCCTCCCAGGCCCCAGGGCAGCCAAAGCTACAGGGGCGGGGCATCAGGAGCTGCAGGCTGCGCAAGGGACATCACTCTGGCTCTTGGAGGGCTCCTGCTCCTTTCTGGTGGAGCCTAATACTCCTTCCCCAAACCAGAGCAGGCCCTCGTCATAACTCTGCCAGCTCACAAGAGGTTTCCGACCTTCCCAAGCTGCTGGCAGGAGGAGGAGTTAGCAGAAGTTTGTGGAAATTTCAAAAAATTAATCAGCCACTTCTGAGAAACCAGTGTCCATGTCCCAGGTGAAAGGGATCTCAGAGACATCCTGGGGTAGCCATTCTAGGTCCAGGATATCAGACTTTGCCCCAGAGGACAGGCAGGTTTGAAGTGGGGTATTACAGGACCATGGAAGTCCTGCAGAGACCCAGGCTTGTCCTCTAGCTGGGGACAAAAGGCGAGCTGTGTACTCTCACTTGCACATTCAGCACGCTCTGCTGTGAGCTCTGAGGAGTTCAGTCTTGGCCCCCAGTCAAGTCCTTCACAAGGCAGGAAGCTAAAAGCTGGGCTCAAAAGCATCTGCCTTTTAGAACAGGGCAGGGAGAAGACAGTCCACCGCACCAAAGGGCAGCGGGCTACTGTGAGAAGAGAACCTAGACGTATCAAGAGGTGCTAGGTCTGGGTCTCAAAAGAGAAGCAAAGATTTTTCTATGAAAAGAAAAAGGGAGAAAAGTAGCTGCTGCAGCAACAGGCAATGGGGAGATGGCTCCCCAGAACCAGCTGCTTCTCCACCCTGCTCCTGCTTAGTCTTGAAGGAAGGCCCTGAAGAACCCACCCATACCAAGTCACTAATGGCTGATAATGACTTCCAGTGTTTGTCCCTTCTAGAAATTCTTTAAAATTAATTTTTAAGGCACAATTTACATTCCATAAAATTCACCCTTTTAAATAAGTATACAATTTGGTGGTTTTTACCCAGTCACCAAGTTATGAAACCATCACCACAAATTCCACAATATCTTCATCACCCCAAAAGGAAACCCCATACCTATTAGCATTGCTCCCTTCCTCTGGCCCCTGGCAACCATTAATCTACTTTATGTCCCCATGGGTTTACTTATTGTACAGATTTTTTACAAATATATTTATATAATATGTGGCCTTTTTGCCTGGCTTCTTCTAGTTCATGTAATGTTTTTTTTAAGATCCAGCCACATTATAGCATGAATTAGTACTTCGTTATTTTTTATGGCCAAATCATGTTCCACTGTATGAATGTCCCACATTTTATTTATCCATTCATTAGTTTGGATTATTAAGTCACTTGGATTGTTTCCATGTTTGGGCTATTATGCATATTGTTGCTGTGGACATTCATGGACAAGTTTGTGTATGCACATAGGTTTTTAGAACTCCTGGAGCATATGGTAATTCTGTTTAATTTTTTTTAGGAACTACTGGACTACTTTTCAAAGCAGCCACATCGTTTTACATTCCCACCAGCAATGCACGACCTACCAATTTCTCCACAAACTCACCACCACTTGTTATTATCCCTCTGTTTTCCCACTTTCCTAGTGGGTGTGAAGTGGCATCTCATTGTGGCTTTGATTTCATTTCCTTAATGATCTCTCAGGAATATTTACATTTAAAACCTACAGAAAAACTATCATCAGCCAAGGATACCAGACTAGTCCCTGGGCTGGCAACAGAAGGCACTTTTCTCCAAAGAATCAGATATTATTTGCTCATTCATTGATTCAGTAAATATTTGTTAAGCACCTATTATGTGCCCAGCATTCTGCTAGATGTTGTGGTTCAGTGAAACAGGAGAGATGTCTTTCTGCCCTAAGGGAGCTTACATTCTATTGAAGGAGCTAATAATGGCATGCCTCATCATTTAATTAGGTTAGAATAAGTACTACAAGCAGAAATAGATGAAGCAAATAGGAAAAATCAGGAAGGAGCCTGACAACTGGGGAAGGTGAGGGAGGCCAGAGGAGTCTGATATTGGGAACGTCCTGGGCAGGAGGACTCCTGGCTTATTATCCTTATTATCCTTGCCCAGATTCTACCTGGGAAGGAGTTGGGGCTTTATCCTGAGTACAAAGGGAAGCCATTGGAGAACTTCCATCATGGAACTTACATATTTTGAAAGACCATATTTTAAAGACCACTGTGGCAGCTGCCAAGCAAAAAAGTTAGAGATGAAGGCAGGAAGGTGGAGATGAGGGTAGGAAGACCAGTGAGGGGATGACATGTGGTCATCCAAGGAAGAGACACGCCTGGACAAGAAGAGGAATTGGGGAGACAGGCATGCAGCCTCTTGAGGAGTTAGAAATGGTGAACCTTGGGGATGAGAGGTAGTGGGGAATAAAAGAGAAATATAAGATGCCCTCTAGGACTTGGATGTGTGCCATTTGGTTACTGATAGAGGGAAAGGTAGAGACGATGGTTGGGATAGATAACTAGGAGCTCAGTTTGGGACATGTTGAGTTTCGGGTGGTTGTGAGCCATTCAAGTTCAAGTGTCAAGGGAGCAGTTAGGGAGCCAGGGGCAGTGCATGTACCTACAATCCCAGTTGCTAGGAAGGCCTAAGGCAGGAGGATCTCAAGTTTGAGGCCAATCTCAGCAACTTAGACCCTGTCTCAAAAATACTTTTTTTAAAAGGGCTGGGGGTGTAGAGCATCCTTGGGTTAAATCTACTACTGGAAAAAAAAGGGGATGGGGGAGCAATTAAACCTTCCCATTGAGAATCCATGTCACCTTTGATTCTCCAAACATGGGAGGACTGGGTTAGAAATACAGATACACTGACAGGGGAGTCTAGATCTGTTGCCTTGGGACATATGTGTGCCAGCACAGCCTGCTGGTGCCGTGGTGTGCATGCACTCCAGCAGCATGCACATCTCCCTGGAGTGTGGCTTCACCCACAACAAGAGTTGGCCTGTAGTGACTCAGGAAGGTCCTGTCCCTAGAAAGTGGCCTTTCTGAGGTGGGAAGGCCTGCAGTCATCATTCTGCCACACTTTCTATGTCCAGCCCTCCATTTTGTCCTCCCTTTTCACCTTTCTGGGTCCTCGGCCTCATCTCCATGCTGATGTGGTCTTGGCAGCCAGGGCTCCATGTACCACAGCTCAGGGGTCCATTTTTCTTCAGTTGTCATCTGTGTCCCAAGGCCTCCATGAGTGCAGGCATGTATGTGTGACAAGCCCAAATGTGCAGCTGCGGTCCCTGCCAGCAACCTCACTGCTGTCCACTGCTCCCTCAGCTTGGGAGGAATAACAATGAGGGCACAGCAACTGTCAGTCTCTGCCACCCATGGCTGCAGAGGGACCCATGCTGGGCCTGGCAGGCCCAGGCTGAGATTTCTCTGGCTTAGCCAAGGCCCCCCGGAGGACCCAGGCCTGTGGTCCACATTGTTTTTGAATCCATCTGCTCCAGGCAAGACTTGGTGCTGACGTCTTCTTTCGCAGGGGACTGGTTAGCTGTCAAGATTGCACAACTAGGGACCAGCAGCCTTAAAGCCTTGTCACAACACACATTGTGACTCTGCACGGGCACTTTGCCATTCTCTTTCCTCACTCCTCCTTTACAGTGTAACGGAAGGGCAGGACAACCTCTAGGATCTGCCCTGTAAAGGGACTTTATAACTTTAGGCATGATCACCTCGGTTATTTTTCTTTTCTGGCCCTTTCTTAGTTTCTTGGGTCTCACTGACCCAGAAGTGGGACAGACACCAACGTGAAGCTTTCTCTTCTCCCCAGCCAGCATGTGGGTCCCAGCTGGGTTTGCCATTGAGCCTTAGGGGAGACCTCAGCCAGGATGGGGCCAAGGATGCCAGCTCAGCAGCCGGCATGATGGGGAGGGGAAGGTGGGAGCTGGCCCTGTCCGCTGGGTTTTATCAGTGAGCTCCTCAGACATATACAGAGGCAGAGCTGTGTGTACGCTCCCAGTCCCCCACGCTCCATCTGTCTCCCTACATGTCTAAACACTGAGGGCGCCAAGTGCCTGCCCTCCTCCTCTCAGCCCCTCCCCATGACTGACAGGAGCCATAGAAACTCAATACCCCTGAGGAGATAGGGCCGGACAAGGCAGGATGGGCCATCTCCGTCACAAGGCTAGTGCTGGGTGGAAGTAAGAGGCCCTCAGAGCCCCCAAGAGCTGAGTGAGGAGCAGGAGCCCCTCCTGGCAGCCCAGTCTAGACACACAGCATAGGACAGTATCTTACAGATGAAAACTGACTTTGATGCAAGAATTCTCACTTGAAGCCAGCTTTCCGTATGCCCTCCTCTGATAGAGGAGAAGAGCTTTCTTAACTTTGATTTTTCAAATGAGTCTGCTAAATCAAACTTACAGTCTGGGTCGATAGCCTCAGAGCCCAGTCTTTCTGTCAGCCAATTTTCCCATCCCAGCTGCCCTGGCCCTCCTCAGCCCCATCTCCTCTCCAACAACCTGAAGCCCATGATTTACAGTCTGGGCTTCAGAGGTCTGGAGGCTCCCTCCAGAGGCAAAGGCTGATGAGGTGGGAGAGCAGCGGGGCTGCCTGGCATGAGAGTATACAAAGAGACCCTTGCTGCTTCTGGAGACAGGGCATACTGGCCTTTGTTGCATTCCGTCCATCCCTGGCAGAGAGGGGGAAGAGCGTAGAAGCTAGGGTTAACCCACATCTCCAGCTCTCAGGAAACAGCAATGTCCCAAAGGTGCCATTCCCTTCAAGTCCCTACTCCTTCCAGCCACCCGCTGAACATACAAGAACCTGAACAATAAAGACAGGTACAGGTGTCTCCTCCCAGCACCATTGTCCACACCAGACGTCAGCATCTCATCCACTTGTGGTGGAAACCCCAGGGAGACAGGAGGGAAGGGGTGGAGGTGGGCCCTGATTCCAGCAGAGGAAGCAGTTTCTGCTCCCTTGTCACCCCCTCCAAAAAATGAAAAGATTTTAGAGGTTTGCCCAGAGCATGCGTGCAGGGTCACACAGGACAGGTGGCTAGAGCTTGTGGGGGCCTCCCACTTTGCCTCACTGGCAATCCAGAAGGACCACTAGACCTCCCCTGCCCAGTCATGTCTGCAGTCTCTGATGACCTTCCAGTTTGGGGATAAGCCATGAAAAGCCATGAAGAAAGTGATTCCTGGGACCCAGAGGTGGTCTCAGTGGGTCACCGGCATGTGTCTCTCATACCTCCAGTGAGCACCACCCTGTCATCCTGGTCGGGGCATGCCCGGAAGTGCAACGAGACAGCCAAGTCCTATTGTGTCAATGGAGGCGTCTGCTACTACATCGAGGGCATCAACCAGCTTTCCTGCAAGTAAGTGACCAGTGGGGTCAGCATGGGGTGAGAGCAGGGTAGGAGATGCTGGGGCAGAAGTGGAGGGCTCTAGGAAAAGTGTGCTTCCAGTCACTGGCAAGGGGTCCCCAAAGGGTACAGACAGCAAGGTTGGCCCCATTCCTAGACCTTTCTGGAATATAAGGAAATGTAAGCTCTAGCCCCTTCTGGAACTTGAGGAAATGTCAGGACACATGGGCTCCTGCTGTTCCAGTTTGCTAGGCCCCTGACCACCCCATCTCCTGATGTCCACCCTTTCACCAACACCTGTTAGGGAGATGGGGATGCCAATCTAAGGCACTGGGCTTTCTTTCTTTCTCTCTCACTCTCTTTCTCTCTCTGTCCTCCTTCCCCATCTCTCAACAACTCTCCAAACTAGTTCTGTCCCAAGCTGCATCTTCCCCAGCAATGAGGAACCTGGTAGGGTCAGGCAGACCACAAGCTCCCAAGCCCTTGGCTCCTGAGGGTCCTACTCCTGCAGTCTTGAGGGGAGTAGAGTGGACTGCCCAGAACCCCTTGAATCTGGCTGCTTTCAATGCCCTACAGCACCCCAGTGACCACTGTGCCCAAGTGCTGCCTGTGCTCATTTAGCCCGGCCCCCTCTCCATGAAGTAAAAAGACACCAACAGAGACTGTGGGTGTTGCCCAGTGGAGGAGGTCAGGTTGGCCCCAGCAGGAACTCCAAGGAGCTCAGAACCACCCACTCCCCAGAGCACACAGGGTAAGCGGGAGCTTGGCAGCCAGGGCCAGGCCCAGCAGGGTCTTCTGGGCAGCTGGGCCCCCCCAAAGCCCATGGACAGAATTTCTGGTGGGCCTGAGAGGAGGGGGAAGGGAGCTTGGGGAGGGCAGCACAAGCTGTGGCCAGATCTTGGGGAGGAGTGGGAAGGGGGCCTAGTGAATAACTTGGGGTTTTCAGAGCATCTCAAGTCTAGAGCCCTGGCAAGATGCCAAAACTGCCCCATTCTTGTGGCATCTGGGCAAAGACCACTAAAATATTGACGGAGATTTAGAGAGGAGCCTGAGCTCCTACAGACGAGGTCAGATCAGCACTTCTAGTTCCCCTGTCTCTGCCCTCCCAGGCCGGATCTGCATCCTCCTCCTTAGCTGCAGCCTTTCCTAGGAATATGGGCCTGGCAAGAAGACTAGGACTTTTAAAGACCCCCTCCACATACCACGTGATCACAAGGGTCCACACCTGTTCACACTCATCCTCAGGGTGGGGTCGCTGGGCTGCCATTGCCAGGCGGGACTGTGGCTCTAGCCCCTGCTGGCCTCCTTGGCTGGCTTCCTCCCTGGTCCCACCCTTCACCTGCTACCATCCCCTTCCCACCCTCCTCCCATCCCAAACCTCAGGGAAGAGTCCCAAGAGCAACAGCAGGTCCTCCAGGGAAGTTCTCAACTTGGCCTCAGCCTTCAGCCTTCCCTGCTTTTTCCTCTAAGAGGCAGCCACATTAGTTACAGACCCTGGGGAACATTCTAGCCTTGAAAATGCTCTGAGCTCTTTGGATTAGACCTACTTCAAATTCACAAGGGCCTTGGAATAACTAACAGGGATGGCCCAGTCCTGCATCCCCCTTGCCATGTCCCATACGCCTCTTCCGTAGACCCTTGGACCCCTTGACCCTCAAATGGATCCAGCATTGTTGCTAAAATCAGCCCTGGCTCCAGATAGGGAAGGTTCAGCCCCCAGGACAGGCACCAGGGATGAGCAGAGCCAGCTCTGGGGCCCAAGCTCTAGTCTTGGAGTTTCTTGTGGGAAAAGGAGGAATAAGATATATAGGTACCAGAGGACCCCACCAGCAAGGCTGCACCCCTAGGAGCCCAGGTCCTGCCTGGCCAAGTCTAAGGGGAGTAGAAGGCAGGAGCCTGAGCCTATTTCCCTCCCCACCAGGACAACTGGGTTTCACAGCTTAGAACTTGAACTTGGCACCCAAAGCTACCCCCTCCCCATCTTGGCCCCCCGGGTCAGCCCCAATTAGGGCTCATGGATTTGACTTTCTTGGCTCCCTTTGTCAGCCCGAAGGGGAGAAGAACATCCCTGGCCGGGATTGAGGTCCTCTGAGTTGTGCTGGAGAAGGGCAGGGGGGAGGGGGCCGGGCAGAGCCCAGAGGCCATTCTGGGGGTGGGCAAGCTGGGAGGGAAGGGGGGCAGGCCTCTCGGGATTCCTGATGACACCTGAATGGAATAAAAAGGAAAGAACTTAGGAAACGGAACTCACGTCTTACCATTTGTGCTGTTTGTTTACTTTTATTTTGATTTTTTTGCATTTCCGCTTAGCTTGGATAATGAAACTACACTGGTCAGTTTCATTCCAGTTTCTATAAAAATCAGTTTTCCTTCCTGGTTTTCTTACACTTGTTGTTGTGTATTGGTTCAAGCCCTATAGGGAGTGTTGGAAAGCAGGCACACTCCGTAACCCTCCTGTTTTTCTGGAACTCAGTGCCAAAAGAAACAGTGTCACTGATACTGAATTTTGTTTTAAAAAAGAAAAGGGGATTTGAAAATGGGGATCCAAATCAAGGTGACTGTCTCTGTCTGGGCCAGACAGGGGCCCCCACACTTCCTCTCGCTGCTTTCTCCTCTTCTCTCCGTGTGTTTGTTGAGCACGGTTGGTGCGTGACTCTTGGGGACTGGTTCAGGGGATGATGACAGAACAAGACTCTCTTTCCAGCCCTGTGCACATACCAGTGGCATGCCTCCCCTGCCATCGGTCCATCCCCATCCGTTCTGCTCTCTCCAGCCCACCCATGATCAGGCGACTCCCCCATCCCACCCCATTTGCCTGCTCATCCTCACCACATCTCCACCCACCCCTCATGGACTCCGAGACCCTTATTCCCCCCCAGTCCCTGGGGCACACCCTCATCCTTCATCCTCCTCTCTCCCCAGGTAAGGGCAGCACACATGGCATTATCCCCAGGCTACCAAAAGGAGAAACTGAGGCCCGGGAGGTGGGGTGGGGGAAGGGGAAGGCAGAGGTCCCTGACCCCTCTGTCACCCCAGATGCAGCCCGTGGGCTCTCCTCTCTGCCCCCCCTCACCCCTGCTCTTCTCCAGCCCTGGGTACAGACCTTCCCAGCATCATAGCTGATGACTCAGCAGGAAGGGCTGGAAGGCTGCTACCCATTGCTCCTTCTGATCTGTCCTCCATGCCCCTGAAATTCAGAGGGCCATCCCTGCTTGAGTGGAACCCACAAGCCACCAGCCAGCCACCCACCCACACTGAGTTCAGACTCCTGCCCTGGTTGATAGGGGATGCACTCCTGTCCTGGGGGCAGGTTAGAGAGGTGGAGGCCTGGCCCACCCCCAAAGTCTGCCCTAGGGGAATCCCAATTTCAATAGGCAGGACAAAGGAGAGGGATAGGAGTGTCCAGGAGGCCCCTGAAGGAGCTAGAGTCCCAGAGAGCACTACTGACTACCAGGTCTTCCTGCCCCTTATGTTGCCCCTCCTTGAGGCCTTATTTGTTCAAACAGGGGGGACACTCTCAAGGCAAGAAGACGAGCACTATAATATTGCACCATTCCAAGGTGCACATTTGTGCTATAGACTGTGTTAATAGTACCCCTTAGAGTTGTGTGATTCAGTGGCCGTGAAAGATATGAGGATGCAGTCAGGGAATTCAGGCTGTATGTGGGATCGAGGATACAGGAATAGACTTAGTTGTCATTGGTCTCCAAGAGTCATGGTACAGCAGCCCTGCTTATTAGAAATGGGAATATATTTCCCCTCTGTGCCCTCCTGCCCCTGAACTCCCCTTTCTCTCTCTTACACCAACACACACACACACACACACACACACACACACACACACACACACACAAAGACGTACACTGAGTTACCTGACTACAAGAGCCAGGCTAATCTCAGACATGGAACACAGTTAAACTTATCTCTTTTCTGTTCTTTTGTGGATTCCAAGAGTCATTTTGGCAACTTCCTGGGTCTTTATCCTCTACCCCAAAGGTACTTCTATTTGAAAAAAATCACTTTTCCCCCTCTTATCCCCATCCCCACACCAGTGTCCAAGAGCTGAGGAAGAAGAGCTGGAGTTGGTTGGAAATCCTTAGCCACTATCCCCATCTTCCTTGGGACAAAGGCCAGGGTTCAGAGAAGGTTGGATTGATGAGGGACCTGAGCCCCCCTGTTCAACAGGATCAGCATGCATGCCCGTTGCCCACCCCTACCACTTTCTTAGAGCCCTCCCAGCCCCTCACCCCCACCCTGGCCAGGTGTACCTGCACACACCCCTACCACTTCAGTGATGACCTCTTATCTCCCAGAGAGCTGCCATCAGGGTCCTGAGCAACGAGCTTTCTGCCCACCAACCACTCCCATTCCCCAGTCCTCTAGATATAAGGCCACAGGGTTTCATGAGTATATGTCACAGCCAACAGTCACTGCCCACTTAAGCCCCAGGGGCTTCCTGAATGGTTGAATACACCAGGAGGTGAAGGAGTAGAGCACACTTTAGTTCTTGAGGAAGTTTAGGTTGATTCATGTTGAACAGTAGCCGATTATTACCTAACTTCCCAAGGAAAAATAGGCCGAGGCAACATAGGCCCATCCCTGAGTAGGGACATGTGGGGAAGGGGTCAGTCCAGCCCTGTTCGTAAGATTCTCCTCAGCTAGCTGGACTTGCTGGGGTTCAGAAAAGAATAGAGGGCTGCCAGAAATCTGCAAGACTGAGACTCGCTTGAGGGGAGAGGTGGCAGCCAAAGAGCAGAAGGAAGTGTACCTTGGGGGTGAGGACAAGGTCAGGGACATGGGAGTGGGTGGTGCTTTGGAGCTGCAGGAAAGGCAAGATGGAAGAAAGATGTAGGGCAGAGTGAGGCTGCAGTGGAAGAGCAGGTCACAGGGAAAGGGCAGGAATGCCCAGGCTGGCTGCCAGCAGGCCCCTGATGTGCAACAGGCCTCCAGGTCCCCCAGTGAGCCTGCTCCAACCTGCCCCTGCCCTCGGCCTCAGGAAGGCAGCTTTGGGACGCTGGTAATTCCAGCTCCCCTCCAACTTCCCCTTCCCCTACTAAGCTTTCCCCATGTTTATTGTTCTAGGGCAGCCTTCCCCAAACTGTGTTCAACAAAGGTTCCTCTAAAAAAAAATGCCTTCCATGGTCAAATAAATTTGGGACATACTAGAAAGTTCAGCTATTTCCTCCTATAAAATTTTTATAACCTTTCATATGCTAATGTAAGCTGCAATGAGGAGCCCTGCGAATGGATTTCCTAAACTTATTTGGCCACAGAACCTTCTTTGAGAGAACAGATCAAACATCTTCTAGGTCAGTTTTGTCATGGACACACAATCTGGGTACAGCCTTCCAGAGTTCTGCTTTGAACTTTCTGGGAGTTTCATGTATGAGAAAACCTGCCGAGGGCCCCAGAGAGAATCCTCCAGTAGGGCCCAAAGGAGTGGCTCCTAAGAACTTGGTCTCCCTTAAGGTTGACTGCCTGGCACTAATGGGCTGCAGTACTGGCTTCATGGGGCACCAGGCAGGTAAGAAGGAAAGGTTCAGGACCAGGAGGACAACTAGACAATAACCTCCATTCTTCCCCCTCCCTGCTTCCCTAAATCATCCTCCCCCTGCCCCACCCCTTCCCACCACCCACGGAGCCACATCTATTAGAAAGGTTTATAAGATTTCAGAGCCCTCCACCCAGCCCCAACTCCAGCCCCTTCAGCTACAAGTGTGACCCCAAGTGCCTGACTTGGTTTTTCTCATTCATCACTGTGCACTTTGATTTCTAACCTTAGCCTCGCGGATGATGCCAGTTTGTTCTGTGATTTTTCCCCTTTTCCTTCTCCAGATGTCCAAACGGATTCTTCGGACAGAGATGTTTGGAGAAACTGCCTTTGCGATTGTACATGCCAGATCCTAAGCAAAGTATGTTTGAAGATACAAACACAAGTCCCTGCTCCTTAGAAAGCTTCCGGGTGCAGTCCCCCCAATGTAGGGCATAGGGCCAGGGGTGTTGGTTGTTTTGATCTTTGGCTGTTTTGTTTTGTTTCTCTTTTCTTTTTTGTATTTTGGTTTGTTAGTTCTTTTGTTTTGTTTTGTTTTGCTTTGTTTTTCATTTTTGGCCTAATCCTTGGGTTTAAAATTCAGGGCTGCAGGTAAGGGGCAGAGTGGCCAGGCCAGTACAAATGGTAACGGTGGCAAGGAACCCAGCTGGCATTGGCAGGAGCCCGTGCCGGGGTGTTGCAATGCCTGTGTCTTGCTATCCTGGCTCTCTCTTTCTGGTTTTCTTTCTTTTGGTAGGTGTCCTGTGGGATACACCGGGGACAGGTGTCAGCAGTTCGCAATGGTCAACTTCTCCAGTATGTCTCTTTCTTCTATTTCTTCTCTTCCCTGGTGACTGGCAATCTCCCCCTGTGGGAGGGATGGGGCCTTGCTTATCATGACTGGGAGGGAAGTGGGGGTGTCCCGTGATCCTCTCACTCCTCAGTGCTCACCAGAAGCCTGTGCAGAGGAGAACGGTACACCCCCTGCCCCCTGGCATCCATCAGCTATACTGCCTGGGCATGGTCATGCTGAATTCTCTCTGCAGCAGCAGGACCCTGTTCAGGTCTCTTTACCCATTCTGGGGACAGATAGCTGGCCAGAAATGGGAAGAGGCATTTATAGAGCCCTCCCTGGCCTCTGAAGGCTGTTTGAGGATGTCAGGCTGATGATGAGTTTGGGAAGTGAGTGTGAGTATGTGTGTGCTGGTGTGCTTGAGAGAAAGAAAAACGTCTCAAAAAACTATTTTCTGCTCAGGCCAAAGTATGTTGGTTTGGGGTTTGGGGACCAGAGCGGGAAGGAGGGGAGTTTGAAGACCACCCGTGGCAGTGTTCTCCATGGATGCCAGAGGACATTTGTGTGGCTAGAGGATGAGGTGGGCTGGGGATTTGCTCCGAAAATAAATGATAAGGAGAATGAGGAATCAAGGGGTCATTGGTGATTCTCCCCAGGACATCTCCGGTCTGAATCCACTTTCAATACTTCATTCCTTTTCTTCCTTCCACTTCTGAGGTTGAAGCTCTCTCTATGTTCTGGTTTACATAATTTACAAAAAGAAAAAAAAACTGAGCCCTGTGGCTGACCCAGGGATGCAGCTGTAATTGTACAGTATTTATATTAGGACCTGGGAGCAGTTCCTTCCAGCACCACCAGGTGGAGGTGCAGCAGAGCAAAACTACACTGGTTGCCCACAGATTCCATCTGGGGTCCAATGGACCATTAGTCTGCAAGGCCTGAACCATGTCACCCATCCTATCCTGCAGAGAAGACTAGGCCCCAGCCCATCCCCTCCTGTCCATAGGACAACTGGATCCTATGAGGAGTTAGGAACTAGAGCATCCAGATGTTACCTGGACATTGGGAAGTAGAACTCTGGGAGATACCAAAGGTCTACTCCTAGGTAGCTCATGGAGAAAAAGAGTTTTGGAGTCTAGGTATCAGGGTGAAGAAATGAACCTTCCCAAGCCTTCTTAGACCACAGCAGGAAAGCCTGAAAATTTACTCCCTACCTTAACCCAATAGAAGCATAGGGACCCCAGCAAATGAGAGCCAGTAGGCCCAGAAGGTCAACTGTCTTCATAGCATGGGAGGCAAGGCTCCCCACAGGACCCTCCAGTCAGAAGCCAGGAGGAAGCCCTTGGGGACAAGGACAGAGCATGTAGGCAGGACATGTGGCTCAAAGGAATTCTCTAGAAACCAGGCTCTGGAAGAATTTCAAAATCAGGTCCAGTCTATGTGGAGAACTGTAGAGCAAGAGGGGGCAGAGCTGCCAGGCTGAGCACGGGCCAGGTGACAGGCAGTGGAGGTTATATTCCTTCCCACCCTTTGGCCAAGAGCCTCTCTGGCTTATGGGACTGTTCTGGACAGGCAGTCCTGGCCCCTCCTGAATCAGAGCAGCAGAGCCTCCGGAACCCGGGCCACTGTCCAAGGCCTCTCTGCCAGCTGGGCTGCTTCAACTTTCAGCCTGGATCTGCTGGGAGGGTCAGCAGAGCCCCAGGAGCCCAAAACAGACTGCAAATGCAGCCTGTGGCCCTCCCACCTTGTCTTCAGTACCATTACTGTTATCTTTCTATGAAGGACGAGTGCTCCTCCAACACTTTCCCAGAGAGCCCTTCGTGTGCTCCTCTAGTAGATAGTGACTACAGAGGCAGTGAAATGTGCTCAAAGAAGTGGCAAGCTTCTAGTTCCAAGTGAGCAGGATGAAAATGCCAGCGGCCCAGCCTGTGAGTTCTGGGCCTCGTTTAACCCCTCTGGAGTTGTGTTCTTGTCTGTATATCGGGGGTCACATTTATGCCTATCAGGCTGCTGTGAGGATGAAATGAAGCAACACATGTGAGGGGCTCAGCAGACAGCCTGCCACTGTCGTTAGAGTGCACTTTAGTACCTCTCCCAGCTACAGTTGGCATGGAGAGGGCAGGAGGAGCACTGACTCCCTGGAGGCCACCTCCCAGCATTCCAGATCAAAGTGTCTGACCTTGCCCAGACCACCTGGAACCAGGTTACCTTTTGCAGAGAATAAGGAAACTAGGCCTTAACCCCAGTAGCACTTAAAGGCTTCTCCTTCTTTCACTGACAGGCCCCCTCCTCCCAGAGAGTCAAAGCTTGTCTGTGTGTATGCCTCCATATAAATGAGCACACACGCTAACCCACAAGCATGCATTCACCCCTGCATACACACATGCAAACACAGAGCACATGCTCACATCTGCATACACATCACTGCCTCCTTGTCCAGGCACCTCGTGACTATGGATTGAACAATTTGCATATTGCCTGGATAGCTTCGCCCTGCTGAAAGTCCAGCATCAGGTTGCCATGATTACTGGTTAGTATGCAAATTTATGAACAATAGGACCTTCCTGTGACTCAGTGGTACCACCCCATCCTGGTTGAGTGGCAGGCAGTGAACATGAATGGGACACTCATATTTTAGCTGGGGTAGATGCAGCTGTAGGCCCCTCGGAATTCTTCTCTGCACATCCCAGGAAGAAGGCTGCCTTCCTGGTGACTGGCCAGGCCCCCAGTGACCTCACCAATCATGCCAACCATCACTGGTCCTCCCTAAACAGTATAGCCTTTGACTCAAACAGCACACCATCAGTAGACCTGGAAGCTTCTGCTGATGCTATGATTTGGTTCCCAGAGGACTGACACAGATGAAAACTCTTACAGGGCTTTGGAAGCCTTTCCTTGCTTCTCCAAGTAGTCATTGCTCTCAGGACTAGCCAGAAAGGCCTCACCAGAGAGGCAGAACTAGTCAAAGCATAGTCCAAAAAGACCAGAAACAGAGCCTCCAATCTCCCTTCTGCCTTCTGATTTCCTGTGTGACCTTAGGAAAGTGTCCTGGAACTACTGGGTCCCAGTTGCCTCATATAATACAATAGCTTTGTCCAAAAGTGGGGCTCAGACCAGCTCTTAGTATCCAGGAGGCCGTGGTCAAGCCCTGCTGTTTTTTCCAAGGAACACGGCTGGATAGCCAAACAATATGAGCACTCTTGAGCTGCCTGGAAGGTCCCTGGATCCCAGAATTAACTATTCAGTGAAATGTCTGAGGCCTTTGGAGTCTGTCAAGATTTTACATCAACTTGCCTGGCTGGCCAGCTCTGGGAACCCTAGAGAAGAGTAGACAAACCATACTTAAGATGACTTTCTCCTACCTCTGCATTCAGAGCAAAACTGCAAAGAAGCCAAAACCTTAAGATCACCCTCCAGGCTCGGGTTAGCAGGAGTACACAGAAGACTCATGTTTAGAGGGCTGGGGTCAGTGCTTCCTTGGTATGGTCCCTGCACAGAACTGGGGAGCCCAAGCCCCAGGATCTTCCTCAAGGCTCTTGAAGTCAAGGACTACTTTCATCCCTGAAGAATCACCCTCCTCTCCTATCCTTTTCCAAATGCAGAGCCATCTAAAATCCCTTTTAGGAAGCAGAAACAGACCTAGGGGTGAAAAATGCTCAGGACTTCCTGCTAGTTGCCTGTGTTCCCCTTCCTCTGCAGCAGATGAGAACGTCACACACAACTTCGTATTCTCCCTGAGTCTAGCCAAGATGACTGCGCTTATGTGGAAGCCAGAGAGGGAGTGAACCCGGCTCGGCAGGAGCTGGGCCCTTGCACAGTGTGCAGAGACTCTGCTGTTCAGGCCTGCTTGCTGCTGCCTCTGACTGGGTACATGTGCTTTTGACAGATTAGGAAACAGAAACTGACTTACCCACATTCACACAGCAAATTAAGGGCAAAACTGAGACTCAGTCCTGCAAACCAGTGCTGGATGCACCATAGGATGGGACATGAGCTTTTTAAAAACACTGTTGTGATTTCTGGGCTCCTACCCAAGCCTGATCCTATTGGTCTGGAGGATTCTGAAGTACAGCCAGGTTTGCAAACCTCCCAGGACCCCATGGTTGAGCCTTAACCCTATTTAACAGCTACGAGACTGAGATCTAGGTAGGTTGAGTATCTCTCAATGACACACAACAGTTAGGTGGCAGAGTTGACCCTTATTTAACCTGTCAATGGCGTAGATATCTACCTCATAGGTGCCTGAAACCACACATTCATTGATCTCACTTCCAAGACTAATTTATCCATTAAATGAGGCACTCACAAGTTCTCCAATCTTCTCATTCTCCTAGTTGCAGTTTGCTCTTCTAAGTAGCAAGATCGGTCTTGGCACCATGCCCAGCCCCTGCAGGTTTCCAGGGTGTTGAGGCAGTAAGTGGAAAAGTGACCTGCTGCCTGCAGCCTCCTCCTCTCTGTGCTCCTGCTCCTCACAGACTCTGAGGCTCCACACTTAGGCTCCTAGGAGATGAGAAAGCCAGCCGGACCTGTGGGACAGGCCAGGGTTGTGGGGCCGGCCTAGGGATCTTGCCCTCATTTTGAACAGAAGAAAGGGCCCTGTGAATGAGCTAGGAGCTGGTCAGGCCCTCTCCAGGAGGACTTGAGAGCTCTGGAGCTGAGAGGAGGGGACCAGGCACTCCTCAGAACCCTGTCCCCAGTCACCCTTTCCTCCAGGGAGACATTTGCCAATTGATTCTCGCCTGTGCCTCCTCACCAGGTACTAACCCCACTGCTCACCTTCAAAGAACATGCTCTGCCTGTGAATTCTAACATTGCTTCTCTCTAGCCCTCCTGGGGCTCTTGGGGACTGGGCACCAGGGAAGGAGCTCAGGGGGCTAGGAAGGGACATTACTAACCTGCTTTCACCTCACAGGCTGGCTGCCGGGTGTCTGAAGAATCCTGACCAACGTTTCTCTCTTTCTCTCTCTCTCTCTCCCCCTCCACCCTCCCCCTCCCATCTCTGTCTGCCTCTCTCCCTTCACCCCTCCCCCTCTTACCCCCAACTCTTCTGCACTGCCAGAGCACCTTGGATTTGAATTAAAGGGTATGGAACCTCTATATATCACTCTGCGCCATCCGCTCAGCCCCCTCCATAGTCCCTGACCCCATGGGTGCTGAATGTTTCATTTCCTTTCCAAAAATGGAAAGGGGATGCTTTCAAAAATCTCCCCTGGCCCCATCAAGATGTCCTAGAATAAGCTATGTTGATTTGGGGGCAGATAAAAGCAGCTCATGGCCAGCCGTGTACCCTGGGGTTCAGACTGTGCCTCCACCGCACAGTAGCACCCCCTGCATAGAGGAGACCGAGTGCTAGAAGGCCTCAGGGGAGGGGGCCTTGCCGAGCTGTGCAACCCAGTGGGCATCCAACAAGAGACAGGGCCCCTGTGTGGATGTGGCTTCTTAAAGGGCCAATGTCCAGAAACTACTGAAGCCTGGTTTGGGAATTGTGCAGAGAGGTGTCCCTTTCCATCTGACTTGAATCCTCTTTTCTTTTCTCATGTCCATTGCTTTTCATTCTGCACCAGACTAGTTGCTGATAATCCACATTTCCTTTTAGCCCTGCCCTGTGTCTTATCTACTGGGCTTTGCCATTTGCTTGAGACTGTCACTCCTTCCATGATCTGTCCCCACGATGGCACATGTGTGCATCCATGAGCAATACCAGCAAGGGTCTGGGTTGGGCTGGTTTCTGTTGCCTACCCCTTGCCCTGGCTCAGAATTTGACATGTGACTCCCTACCCTATGCAGCTGCCCCTGGGAGACTCTTTGGACTAGGAGGGACTTTGAGGGTCTCTGTTTCCAACTCTGTGGCTTTGCTCAGAGAGGCTCAGCCCTGGCCCCAATAGTCTCAGTGTATTCCAGCAAGAGATATGCAGGAGATCCAGAGGTGGGGGACTTCTAGGGGTCAGAATCTCAGATGTGATGCAGAGCCTACAAACATGCCAAGGCTGTTCTCGAAGCAGGTTTGGGGAAGACCTAGCTCTGCCACCACCTGGCCCCATCAGCTGTTCTCAATAGAAGATAGAGCTCAGAGTCTGCATGTTAAGTGTGTCTGTGTCCACAGCCTGAAGTTGGGTGGGAAGGAGGGGTGAAGGCTCTGAGGGATCTAGGATCGTGGAGGAAGGATGCATGAGGTAAATCTGCAGGCGTCTGTGCTGATGGGATGTAGGGAATGTGTACAACACTTGCAAGGTCTCAGGGCAGAATGCGAGGGCGTGGAGGGGCAGTGGGATATCTCTGTTAAGTTGAGCATTTGCAGTTGGACCTATGTATGTGTGGAGGTGAGTGTAGGATGTGCAGACGTGTGTGTGTGTGTGTGTGTGTGTGTGTGTGTGTGTGTGTGTGTGTGTCTGAAAGGGGAGTGTGTATGCAGCAAACACTCATCACCAGAACCTACAGACATGTGTCCCTGCCCTCCTGGTGCTCCCATTCATGGGTGAGGTGGCAACAAACAGGAAGATATCAGGTGAAAATAAATGCTAGACAGAAAATAAAATGAGGTCATGGGATTGTTCTACTATGCCTAAGTAGTCAGGGGAGGCTTGTCCCATAAAGTGACATCAGGAAGTCAGTCCTGCAAACAATTTGGTGGGGTGGTGGGAGTTGAAGGCAGGAACCAAGTCATGTGGTTCAATGAGATTTGTCTGGTTCAGTGGATAAAGACCACCAGTGATTCCAAGCACTGGGGGAAAGGACCACAGATAGGATTCAAAGGGAGGTTGAGACCAAGTAATTGGGGTCCTTAGACCTTGGATTTTATTTGAATTACAACAGAAACTATTAAGAGTTTTAAGCAGGGAACTAAAATGATCTGCTTTACACTTTAATGTAGCTTTGAGTAGACAACAGCCTGATGCTGGGGGCAGCTAGGGAGCAGCAGACACAGAAAGGCCTGCCACACAGTGACCATCGCTGGGTGAGAGGAGGCATCATCCTGGACTAAGTTGGGAGCTGTGGAAATGGTCACATGGTCAAATCCAGGACCTACTTGGAAGGTAGAGCTGAGAATACTTGTAGGTGGATCAGATATCAGGGAAGATGGGAAGAAAGGGAGTGATTCAGAATGAGTTGTGTTTTGGGGCCAGAGCCACAGGATAGAGATGCTACAAGAGATGGGGAGGAGTATGGAAACTGGTTCTGGTTGGCCTTGGCCTTTGGATACCTGAGTCTGGAGCTTAGGGAGAAACCAGAGCATGAGACAGAAAGAGAAAGAATGTAAAGAAATGATATTTAAAGTCTGTCTATATGAGGTCACTCAGGGAGACAGAGGAAAGAAAGAAGGCTGAGAGCTCTGGGCCCTTCTACCATCCAACCCAAGTAGAGAATAAGGGAGCAGCCACTGACATGGGAAGACCAGCGCCACTCCAAGGCCATAGAGTGTGCCCCACAAGGAGGCATTTTAATAACCACAGGACTTGGAACATGGGGGTTTTTGTTGACCATGACCAGAATAGTCTCCAAGGAGGCAGATGCCTGACAACAGAAAATTGAGGGGTAAAGAGGGAAAGAGGCCTGGAGGCAGGGCTGTGGGACAGAGTCAAGATGGGGGTGTGAGACAAAGGTCAGGTTAAGAGAGCCTTAACTGACTGTGGGTCGGTGTGCCTGGATCTGTGTGTGCACCTGTTACTGGAGTGTGTGGTTAACTCTGTGTGTGTGTGTGTGTGTGTGTGTGTGTGTGTGTGTGTGTGTGTGTGTGTGAGAGAGAGAGAGAGAGAGAGAGAGAGAGAGAGAAGAGAGCAGGTATGGGTTTATCTTTGTGAAGGTTGTGCCTGTGACTCTGGCAGGCATAGTTGTGGACACGTGTGGGTCTGAAGGGTCTGCAGCCCTGGGGTTACTGTGTGCTTGCCTCTGCATGGGAGATGCTATAAGCCCAAGGGGACAGGGCTCCACCAAGGTGTGGGAGTCCCACCTCCAGTTATTCCTAAGCAGGGAAGCAGGGCCAGCCAGCAAGTGCAGGTGGGGTGGGGTGAGCTTTCTGGGCTGTGGCCAGTACTGTCACTTTTTGCTTCTCTTCTTCCTAGTGGTCTGTTTTAGAGGCATGGAGAGTAGAGAGGAGAGTTGAGGCTGGGGGCTTGGAGGCCCAGTCTTACTCAACTCCCCAGCAAGGGTGGGGGTGTTCTTTACACACAAAGATAGATGTGTGCAGATGCCAGGGGCCTGTGCTGCCACAGGTGGGCTTCTCACCTGCAGACATGGGAGGCTGCAGTGGGCCAGGCCACAACTCTGACCAGGCCTTTCTTCCATGTCCCCTCCTGGGCCCTGTCTGCTCTGTCATGCTCCTGGCCCTTACATCCCTCCTACATCCCACCTCTGGTCTTGCACCTTGTCAACAACTTTAGCTTCTTAGGGAAGCTAAAGTAACTGATCCAGGCCTTTGCTCAGGGTTTCCATGTTCACTATCATAAAGAAAACTCTCCACAGTCACCAAGGTTCTTTGCAGCTGCCAGTCTGCTGTGGAGCAGGGCAGGGGTGCTGCTGGCCAGACTAGGTTGTGCTCCTCTACTTCTCTACTCCATCCTCTCCCATCCCCTGCATTTTCCACCCCCATGCTCTGGGTGGGCCTGGGATCTGGGAGGGTGTGACCAGGCCCATGGGTGGGTGGGAATGTGGGGGACCATCCAGAAGCAGGCAGGAGGGAGGAATGGAGGGAACTGGCAGGACCTGGGCTGAGGGAGCTTGAGGCTTTGGGGGCAGGGGGTGTCTGCACCAGCATCCCTCCAGGCCTGCCTCCTGCCCCACCTCCTCATGTCCACTCTGCCTCTGCAGAAGCCGAGGAGCTATACCAGAAGAGGGTCCTGACCATCACTGGCATCTGTGTGGCTCTGCTGGTTGTGGGCATCGTCTGTGTAGTCGCCTACTGCAAGACCAAGTGAGTGGCAAGTGCTCAGGAAGGGGACAGGCCAAGCCAGGGGATGGCCACCAAAATGTTTTTGTAAGGACAGGCTCTTCTCCTGTACCCCACCATGCCTGGCCTCAGTCTCCTATCCCCAGGGGCCTTTGTAACAGTGGGGCTCAGGGGCTGGATCAGGAAACAGGCGTAGAGGTGGGGAGACAGCCCTAGATGACCAAACAAAGTGGGCTCATGGGCACAGGGCTTGAAAGAACACAAGTCTGGGTTCCAACCTGGCTCTGCCGTTTCCCATGTGATCTTGAGAAAACTGAGGAACCACTCCAAGTCCCCATGGGAATGAGCCTAGTATATGCATCAAAGGACATTGTGAGGGCCTGAGAGGAACGCACAGCTGACCACAATGGCTCTAGGATCATGTGCCCTGTCTAGCAGGAGGTGCTGAAGCAGTGCTAGGGAAGAAATAGGGAGGCACAGAGAAGGTTGTGTTCCCCTGGAAAGAGGCACCTCACAGGCACCGCCTGACCCCACCCTGGGAGCAATTGAGACAAGAACACAGAGAAGGTGAGGCTGGGCCACCTCTGGGTAGAAGACAGGTCAGGGCATAAGCTCAGGGAGCTGAGCAGTTTGGGTAGCAGAGTGCCAGCTAAAGACAAGCACAGATGGGGCAGTCACACCTGCAACAGAAGCAGCCTGGACTAGTTGGGCCAAAGAACCGGATCATAGAAGAGGAGGCAAGAGGCTAAAAAGATAGCTGGGATCCAGATGCCACCATAGGACCTTGATGCCAAGCCAGGAAGTCTAAATTTATCCTGTAGATGATGGGGATCCCGTAAAGGTTGAAGCATGATGTAGTACAGTAAATGATATTTGTCTCATCTGCTCCTACCTGGAAAGCAAGGCTGGAAATGGCCATCATCTGGGGGATGGAGCCTGTAGGTCTGAACCCCTGCTACCTCTACTGATAGGATTGAAGGCCCAGCTGCCCTCATCTCGGATAAGTTCAATGAAGACTGGTGGAGAGTAAGGAGGGAGTTGGGGTTCAGGAGCCCAGAGGAGGAGCCTGGGCATATTAGGGATTGTGTCCAAGAACTGGGGGAAAAGCAAGCCTCTGTTCCAACACCACTGCATTTATCCATTTCTTCAGCAGACTTTTATTCAGTGCTCGAAGCAAGTGGTCCAGTGTCACAAGACATATTTTAGAGTCACCTAACCTTAGCTGGAGGGCAGGAAGGGTTTTTCCCATGGATGCAACATTTAGGCTGGAGCCTGTGAGCAAGAGTTAGCAAGCAGGTGAAGAGGCAAAGAAAGTATTCCAGGTGGATGGACTAGAATGTGTGCAAGCTCAGAGGCCAGAGAGGACAGGGGATCTGAAACAAGCTGTCCAGGGGTGCAGAAAGCTGGGGTGAAGGGAAGGCAGTGAGAGATAGGATTTGAGGGTGAAATGGGACCCTGAGAGCCAATGAAGGTTTTAGACAGGGGAGTGACATAAGAATCGCTTATTATAAAACAAATTTATTGAGCATTTAATATGTGCCAATGTAAAATAGTCCCACAGGCCCTGGCTTCCTAACCACAGCACCTTGTTTTTATTTTCTTCATAAAACTTAAGGGAAAATATCGAGTTCATTTACTTGTTTATGTGATTATCATCTGCCTCCCCCACTAGCCTGCAGGCTCCATGAGACAGGGACCATGTCTGACTTCTCTGCTCCAGAGTAGTATCTGGAACACAGTAAAAACTCAATAAATACAAATGAATGAATGAGGGAGGGATAGTGCCAGCAATGTGCATAAGTAGTTTATATATTTTTAATGCTCAACAGTCTTTGGAATGGTTTCACACATGGGGCAACTAAAATAGGCAGAACTTCCATAACTTGCCCAGGGTTATGAAACTAGAAAGCAGTGGGATTCCACACATTAACTACTCATGTGCCCTGGAGGGAAGTTCAGCCACTACAGGGGACCTGCCAGGTTCACCTACCCTCCCTCTATGCAGAAAACAGCGGAAGCAGATGCACAACCACCTGCGACAGAACATGTGCCCAGCCCACCAGAACCGGAGCCTGGCCAATGGGCCCAGCCACCCCCGGCTAGACCCGGAAGAAATCCAGATGGCAGATGTGAGTGGTGTTCCAGGATCCCCTCTGAGCCTTGCTGGTCAGCCAGGCTTCTCATACAAGTTGCCAGGACAGCAGCCAGCCCGGCCCCTGGATCATCCCTGCCTGCTAGGCACTATCTCCCCGGATGGCTGGCCTTGCTTTGCCCACTTGCAAGGGAAAGGTGGGGAGTTGCTGGCTGGAACCAAAATCACCCCAACATCAAAGCCGTTTGTCATCCACTGATCACTCCCCGCACCTAGAGCTCAGTGCTTAATTACTTCCCACTCCCACCAGCGAGAGCCTACCTGGTCCCCATCACTAATTCCTGCCAATTCTCTGTCTGTCCCAGTACATCTCCAAGAATGTGCCAGCCACAGACCATGTCATCCGGAGGGAAACTGAGACCACTTTCTCTGGGAGCCACTCCTGTTCTCCTTCTCACCACTGCTCCACAGCCACGCCCACCTCCAGCCGCAGGTGAGTAAGTCAAGGCCCACAGAAACTTGAGGATTCCTGTCTTTTATCTCATTCATCCAGAGTTATTTGACACCCTCTCCTGAATTTGGCTCACAAATTGTGGTCTCCCTTAGCCTTCTCTTCAGAACAGGGGTGATCTATCAACATAAACACAGAGGCTTATACAGCTTGAGAAATAACATGGCTGGCCCTCCTTCCCTGAGAAGTACCATGGAATGGTCAGAGCTCCCAAAGATTGGCCACTGGGGCTGGGGTCCTGAGATAAGGTGGCTAAGGGCCATGAGGGTGAAAGAGTCCCACACAGGGGCTCTGGGGCAAGGCTAGGGTGAAGATGGCTGCAAGATATAAAGGAAGGGGCCTCTACACATTGCAGCTCACCCAGCCATGGCACCCAGCCCTCCTCCCAATGTCAAGTTTGGACATTTGTGATACCCCACATCATCCCATGATTCAAAGGATCCAAGATGGGATGAAGATACTGGGATTGGGTGGCCAAAGTTCCACATCTGCTGGGCCACTCTACCCCTTCCTGACCTCTTGCCTTGTTCCCACTGGCTATCCCAGACATGAGAGCCACACGTGGAGCCTGGAACGTTCTGAGAGCTTGACCTCCGACTCCCAGTCTGGCATCATGCTGTCATCAGTGGGCACCAGCAAGTGCAACAGCCCAGCATGTGTGGAGGCTCGGGCGCGGCGAGCAGCAGCATATAGCCTGGAGGAGCGGCGCAGGGCTGCTGTGCCACCCTACCACGACTCCGTAGATTCCCTGCGTGACTCTCCACACAGTGAGAGGTTAGTTCTTACACCCTGACCTGGCTCCCACTTTGGCCAGAGGGCTGGTACCACTGACCCAAGGCTGACCCTTAGGGTATCTTAGAGACCTTTCAAAGAGACTCATCTCCATTTTTTCAGGTGAGTAAACAAGATCCCAGAAAGATTATTACAGCTGAGTTGTAATGGACCCTGGCACATAGTGACCACCTGATTTAATTATCCTACTAGGATACTTTTCAAAGAAGAATGGGAGATTAATAATTGCACTGAAACTTCAAGAATAAATAGGGGCTATTCCAGACAATCAGGTCCTATGGTTGCCCTATCCCCATATCACCTAGAGGACTCATGTCCCAGCAGAAGCAAAAAGACACAAAGACCAAGTCGATTGGAGAGAGGGAAGGGAAGTTGTTTTCAAGGACACTGACCAGTGCACAATAGACATGCGCCAAGAATGACCCACGCCAGATAGCATGGGCAATAAGGTGCAGCATTCAAGGTACTGATGAGTTCTCCAGCAAAGGATGCAGAAGGACCAAGGAAACTCCCCTTCTCTGACTCCAAGCTAGGAACCATAGGACTCACCCCCATTACTCAGCCCCCAAGTGGTCCTCAGCAACTTGCATCTATGGGAGGACAGCAGAGGAAGGGGCACCATACAAGAAGCTTTGAGCCAAGAAGAAAGGAGAGAAGTAGTTACCTTCCCTTCTTTGTTGTTGTTTGTTTGGTACCCAGGATTGAACTCAGGGGCACTCAACCACTGAACCATATCCCCAGCCCTATTTTGTATTTTATTTAGAGTCAGGGTCTCACTGAGTTGCTTAGTGCCTCACATTTGCTGAGGCTGGCTTTAAACTCATGTTCCTCCTGCCTCAGCCTACCCAGCTGCTGGGATTACAGGTGTGCATCACCATGCTCAGCTACCTTCCCACTCTTGACAGCCTACTCTGTGCCAAGTCTAGGCTGGGCAGGCCTGCCTGGGGAGTCAGAGGTGGCCCTCCTGCTTCCCGTCCCTGAGGCACTCCCAGTCACAGGAACAAACCACTGTTGCTCACAGCAGCCTGTGGAAAGTGCTAAGCACAGGACACCACTCCAGGGACCACTCCTGGGCAGAGAAGCCCAGTCTGACAGCAAGCTCTAGGAAACAGCCAGGTTTCCTAAGACCAACCTGTCCAAGGGCAGCTGCACAACCTGCATGTTTAAGGGCAGGCTGATTGCCTCTATACACTGTTCCCTTAGCTGTTGATCAGAGAGAATTCTAGTATGCATGGTTTTGATGAAGGCCAAATGAGAAAATATATGCAGAGCTCTTTGCCTCATACCTATCACTACTATCATCAACAGTAACCACAATACCAGGGCTCCTTAGGGTGTGGTAGGAAGGCAAGAGGCAGAGAAATGGGGATGGAAAGCCTTTTGTATACAGGGAAGGAACCACTGGAGCTGTTCCAACAGAGGAACTTAAGAGTAAGATCAGAGAGTGAGGTGCCTGGAGCACGGAGGGCTGTGGGGAACAGCAAAGCTGGGCCTAAACAGGCAGGCTGGGGCCACACAGATGGACCAGAGCCAAGGGATTCTGCTCAGGATGTGGAGTCTGGGTGAGTAAGTAGGAAGGAGCCTCCTTAGCAGAGCTGGGACTTAAAAGATTGCTCTGGGAGCTGCAAAATGAAGGAGACACCATGGGATGGGGACACAACCAGGGAGAACAGCTGGCCCAGGATAGGATGGAGAGTGTGCCCAAGGATGGGGGAATGGGTAAGACTAGATAATTAAATCGACACATGAGATAGAGAAGATGTGGCGGACCAGGGTAGGGGAAATCAGTTGACTCAAAAAGAACATAACAGAGAAATTTTTAAAAGAGGATTCCTACAATCAAAAGGAAGTTTGTTTATTCATTCACCTCTCAGACACCTTGGTTGCAATTGTAAATAAAGCTGCTATAAACATTTGTGTTCAAAAAAAAGACATAACAGAGATTTGGGGCTGGTTCTAGACGGCAGTGAGGTGCTTAGCTATGCTGTGTGAAAAGGAATCATGGAGGTGGGTGATTCCTGTTCTGAAGTGGACAAAAGGCTGATGTGCTCACAAAAGGGATGTGGAGAATGAAAAAGGACAGGTGCCCAAGATCCAGACTGGGAGATAGTAGCTTTTGAAGTCACTAGGTGTCATTGGACCCAGGCAGAGACTACCCCAAGTAGTGGGGTATCTGTCAGCCCTAGCTGAGCACCCTGTCCAAGGTGTGAATGGTCAATTCCCTGAGGAGGCTTTTGATTTCAATATAAGAAGGCATGTTGCCCTCACCAAAGCTGTCAGCCATGGGATGAACTGTCCCTGCAGGAGCACTGAGTCCAGGTAATAGGGATAGGTGAATAGGGACTAATGGCTTCTGGAATTGGACAATAGGCATTCTGGTTCTTTCCTGCCCTGTGTTCAAATTCCAGCTCTGCTACTACCTAAGTGTGGAACCCAGAGCAAAGAACTCAAACGTCCTGAGTCTGTTTCCTGTGTGTAGTATGGCCCTAACCTAAAGGTCTTAAAAAATTACTATTAGATGAGATCATACATAGATAAAATGCCTGATCTCATGACTGTGAGCATTCCCACAACAAACGATCATTCGTGAAGACTTACCACGGATCAGATACTGGGCTAAGACATTCCCCTGACACCATATCTGGAATCATCCCAATACTGCAATAGAATGAGCACTATGGTTATCCTCGCTTAACAAATAGGAATATAGATTGGAGATATTAAGGGAATTGCATGAGGTCATAGAGAAGTACCGCCATCATTCTTGCAGACAGGATCCCTCACAAGATGATTTCGGTTGGGGCCCACCCTCTCATCCGAGACCCCCTGACCCACGCCTCTGCCTCTCCCTGCAGGTACGTGTCGGCCCTGACCACGCCCGCGCGCCTCTCGCCCGTGGACTTCCACTACTCTTTGGCTACGCAGGTGCCGACTTTTGAGATCACTTCTCCCAACTCTGCACACGCTGTGTCGCTGCCGCCGGCCGCGCCCATCATTTCCCGCCTGGCGGAGCAGCAGCCACTGCTGCGGCAGCCGGCGCCTCCAGGCCCCGGGCCAGGGCCCGGGCCAGGCGCGGACATGCAGCGCAGCTACGACAGCTACTACTACCCGGCGGCTGGGCAGGGACCGCGGCGTGGGGCCTGCGCGCTGGGCGGCAGCCTGGGCAGCCTGCCTGCGAGCCCCTTCCGCATCCCAGAAGACGACGAGTACGAGACCACGCAGGAGGGCCGCCCCCCCGCCACCGCCGCGGCCACGAGCGCGCGGCGCGTCCCGCAGGACGTCCGCGGGGCCCCGGCGCTGGCGCCGCTCGCGCCTCAACGGGCTGGCTGCGCAGCGCGCACGCGCGGCGCGGGACTCGCTGTCTCTGAGCAGCGGCTCGGGGGGCGGCTCGGCTTCGGCCTCGGACGACGACGCGGACGACGCGGACGGGGCACTGGCGGCCGAAAGCACGCCTTTCCTTGGCCTGCGCGCGGCGCACGACGCTCTGCGCTCGGACTCGCCGCCGCTGTGCCCGGCGGCCGACAGCAGGACTTACTACTCCCTGGACAGCCACAGCACGCGGGCCAGCAGCAGACACAGCCGCGGGCCGCCCCCGCGGGCCAAGCAGGACTCGGCGCCCCTTTAGGGCCCCGCCGCCCCCTCCGCCTCGCCCGCCCCCACTGTCTTTAAGGAGAACAGAGACCACCGACTGGAGAAAGGAGGGAAAAAAAAGAAATAAAAATATTTTTATTTTCTATAAAAGGAAAAAAGTATAACAAAAATGTTTTATTTTCATTTTAGCAAAAATTGTCTTATAATACTAGCTAACGGCAAAGACGTTTTTATAGGGAAACTATTTATATGTAACATCCTGATTTACAGCTTCGGAAAAAAAAAAGAAACAACAAAAAAAAAGAGAGATGGGCCAATTTTTTGACTCTTTAATAGAAACCTATATTGTGGTGCCTTTTGCTGTACGCTAATCTGGGGCTCCTGGAGAGACGTCTGGGTTGCGGGGTGGTGGTGGGCCATAGGATCCAGAGCTGGTTGAGGTGAGCGAAAGCAGGGAGAGAGACTGTGAGGGTTTTATGGGGTGAAGGTGGTGGGTGCTGAAGAAGAAACTGAGGACAGAAGAAGTTTTGTACCCAGACCATATTTGGAGTCCTGGGCCCCCTGGGAGTAGAGGGCAGGGATCCTAGGTTCAAGTGCTAGAATTGGGATCAGGTAACTTACAGGGGAAGACAGAAGCCCAGCGACAGCAACCAGAATGGGGAGGGGCTCTCCCCACTCCTCACAGCTGCTAAGGGAGGGGGGCCAGAAAGAGGTCTCCCCAGCAGCCCCAGGCCCAGGGAGGGGGCAGCTGTGCCAGGGGCCCAATATTCATGGCTCCTCCTCCCCTGCGGTCTCCAGGATGCCCTCTGTCCTCTGCAGCACCTTCGTTTACAGGTCGTCTTTTCTATTTTATGCCTGCATGTCCTTTGCATTTCAGATTCTTTAGATTGGATGCATGGTCACGCTGGGACTGAGAAGAGCCACTCGACAGTGTATTCAGTTCCCCTTTTAGCAATAAAGTAACCATTTCCTTCTCACAACCTGGCCCCAGTCCCCATACCCACCTATGACTTCCACTTTCTCTTCAGTCCTACCCTCCCCAACCCTCAAAACTGGATCCAAGCTAATTTGTCAAAAAAAGAAATTGTTTTAAAAAAAATCCCAAACAGAAACAAATGGGAACCCTGCCCTGAAATGTCCGAACACCTGACTGTTGACACTTGAACATTTTTATATTATAAATAAAATCAGAAATAACTCCTGTTTGACTGTGTGTGCCTAGCCCAGATGAGGAGGGAAGACAGGATGAGGACCTGAGGTGGAAGTGGATGGGTGTTCAAGTGAAGGTAGGAGAGGGCCAGTGCAGTCCCTGAGAGAAAGTGACCCTCTCTCCAATCTCCCTGGCCCCAGCTCCCAGGACAGGCTCCAACCCCCCTCCCTCTTCCAAAACCATTTACAAGGTGTCCCCCCTGGCTGCTAGGAACCTGGCCAAGGGACTGACGCAAATTGTTCTTCAAACTCAGCCTCAGAACTCTGGCCCAGTTCTTGCCCCGGAGCTATGGGGCTGGATTTGAGGCAACAGTTTCCGGGCCTGGATGGGTGAAGAAGGAAGGGTTGTGGGGTTGGCACAGGGTAGCTGAGGCAAGATGACCCTTGGGGCCTTGGGCACGTCACAGGCAAAGTCTGGACATGCAAAGAAGCATAATGGGTACCCTTGCTGCCAGAAGGACCACAACAGCTGCAGCTCATAAGCCCACAGGGGATTGCTCTTTCCCCAACTTTATCCCCCCTCAGAGCCAGGACCTGTCTAAACCTGCAGCCCTTGATGAAGGGTACATGATTTCAGGTATAGAGGAGGCAGATGAAGGTCCAGAGTTAAGTCTTTCATCTCATCAACTAATTTATTAAATCAATACCCAGCACCAGGAACCAGAAGATTCCAGCCAGAACACGAGGAAATCTCTCCAAAGAGCTGAGGTGGATATGTGTGTCTGTGGTGTGTGTGTGTGTGTGTGTAGTCAGAGACCTATAGAGAGGTGGGACAAAGAGGTTTAGGATTGGGAGGGCTCAGGCACCAATGGGACCTGAGTTTGAACACCTGCCACAGCTAGTGAGTGGTCTAAGAATTATCTAGGCTGCAAGGTCCTCGATGTGAAATGAGGATGAAAATACCTACTTCAGAGAGTGGCTGTGGACCCAGGACTGTCCTGGTAGACGTCTAGTAAGTGCTACTTGGGTGGTAATGACACCACCATGCCTTGCATCCTTGAATCACATTGTCAGTGTGGCAAAAACTGAGTGAGAGATGATGGAGAAAAGTAAAAGAAGAGGTAAAGTCTCTATTCATTGTGGGGTGCTAAGACAAGCACAAAGAAACAAAAAAATAATAATTGACTAGCTGTTGTGCAAACCTGCACATCACTGCCCTTCTCAGGCCCCATCAGATGGCCTCATCCAGGCCTCTCTGCCATCTCTTCAGTTTGCTTTTGACTTTACATTTTTCTGAAGGCTGATAATTCTCTACATGTCCTCTGATTTCCATGGAATCCCACATTACTCTGTATGTCCTCCTAGTAAATTCACTGACCTTATCATGACCCAGTTTAGTGTCCTTATTTGACCCTTCTGAGGGCTCTAAGTTGTTACCTTCTGGATTTTCAGTCAGAAACCACCTCCATGACTCAAATGAACTTCTGATCTCTATGTGACCCCCAGTTAATTCAGAATTCAATGACCTTTACATGACCTCATACGATACCTTCATTATTGTTCTGAATTCTAAGATACCTGCCATACCTGCCAACGTCCAAAGCCAAGACCTAATATAATTCCTTGGCTTCCTCCTCCTTGTGTCATCCACCCCTGGGAGCACATTTGGCCAGAGAGACCCTTCTCCACTCTGCCTCTCAAATTTCTGCTTTGGGGGAATTTCAGTATGGCCTTTCACAAAGTGTCTCCATCCTGTTAAGCAACTTCCTTCCTACTACCCTGTCCCCTAGAATTTTTAGGATATTTGAGCAGTTATCTGAGTCAGAGTTTCTTCCCCACTCCCCAAATTCTTTCTTCTCTCTGTTGGATCACACTTGGCTTCTGTCCTCAGCTCCTCCCAGAGTCCCAAAAGGTAATGGTAACTGCCTGTCCCTCTTCCCACTAGACTCTGAGCCCCATGAGGACAGGAAACTGAGCTTTTTCTCACCACCTTGTCCCCATCACCCTTTACAGGGTGCAGCACACGACTGACTCTCATTGAATGCCAGGATGGAGGCTCAAGACACCAAGATCAAGGGCCAGCCCCCCTCCTACCCCAGGAACCCCTGTACCTGCAACCACTTCCCAGGACCACCAGGTGGCGCAAACCATTTATTGCATCTCCCAGGGCCCTGGATTTGGATAGTCTTAGAAACTGGTTATATTAGGGCAGAGATTGGGACAGGGAACATGATAGTCCATTAGAATACAGGAAGAAATATTAGAACTTTGATTTAGATTTATTTTATCTCATCTTCTTTTAAATTTCTATTTTTGTGTATGTTTTATAATGTACATAATATTTTAGTACAGTAGTACATGTATATAATTTACAAATAAATAATTATACAATTAAGGAAGCAAACTAAAAATTTCTTTACTGATGAGAGGCACAACTAGTGCCCGGGGAAGCACATCTGTCCGTGGCTGCTGGAGCTTGCACCTCTGGTCGTCACCCACCCTCAACGGAGCAGAGAATGGGACGCTGGCCTGAAAATCAAAGGACCTTTGAGGCAGCGTGGAAAAAGTACAGAGAGCTCTTTTATGTTGCCACATTGCCTTTTCAATTTCATTTAAATGAACATTTACTTCCCCTGAGCAAAACCAGGGGGCCAGATGGTTTGGTTATAAAACACTTCAGTTGATCCAACTTAAATAATCTGGATTTAAATCACTACTTCTCTCCACATACTCACATGTCCCTGCATCAAACGTGAGTGGGCTTGGAAATGTTAGGTACTTAGTTGTGAGGCTGGCTTATCTTATTAAATAAATATGTTACCACAGAGGTCAAATTGCTGGCCAAACTACAGTAATGTATTTAAACAATAGGGAAGATTGGCTCACCATAGCCACCTTGAGGGCACCTTCACCCCCACTCACTTGTGGGCCTGAGGAATACAGGGTTTGAAGGATGCTAATCTGTGATGGGCATATGGGAAATATCTCTATTCTTCCCAGATCTGTCCTTAGCAAAGCCTTTCTGATTCACGAGAAAAATAAAAGAAATATCAACAATCAACAACTTGTCATTCCACCTTTTCCCAAGACCAAGAATTACTGGCTTCCATAACCTTCCTCCACCAGACATCTTTGGGCTTATTGACAAGTGGCTCTCTCCAAAAGGTGGAGTGTCTTTTATTCCTAGGCAGTAGGTCTGTACAAGAGGCCACCTCTGAGCTCAGAGACCTGGCAGCACCAACATAAATAGCCAAGTACAAACAAGGCAATGGCCCCATCCCACTTACCCCCCAGAACGGCCTTGGGACAGAAGGGGTGGCACACACAGATCCTGTCTATTTAGTCCAAAAACATCAACTGGAAGATCAGTTGTGAGTCACAGGTCAGCCGGAAGAGGAAAAGGCAGGTGAGGGGATTTCAGCACTATCTCCATCTTGCCTCCCAGACTGTCAAGGCTATGGAGCCCAACTTGATAACAGGTGGAACTCCAAAACAGGCTTTTCTTCATCTGATTTCATCCTCTGACAGCCATTCCAACCCCATCTTTAAAGGGATTTCTCATATATATATATATATGTATATATATATATATATATATATATATATATATATATATATAGACATATATATATATATATAATTTGTATACATATATATATATATGTACATTTATGTTTGTATAAAAAGGAGACAGTAGTGGCCTCCATGATGGAAGGAGATGTGAACGTGGAGACAACTTGGTACTAAGCGGTGGCAGGCCTGGGTCCCAGATTATTGCGATGTGAGGCATAACTGGGCCTGGTTGCAGAGGTCGCTGGGAGGAGGAGTGGATGGTGCTGGTGGTCCACAGACCTGCTGCTGGTCAACTCAAAGGAAGGAGGAAGAGAAAGGGAGGAGAGGGGTCCAAGCTGAGACCCAGAGTCCAGACCTACCCTCCAACGTGGGAGATGAGGGAGGAGCTTGATGAGAAGAGGTGTCCAGGGGAAGCAATGGCCCTCTCTGCTTCTCCAGTGAGGAGGTGCTAGAGCAGGTGCACCCTGGCCTACAAAGTGAGACCCTGTGTGGAAAGGGCAATGAGGGCTGGGGAGAAGATCAAGGTCAGAGATGGCCCAGGATGTAAGAAGACCAATGCCACAAATGGCATCTCCAACTCCATGGTCCACGGGGCTCTCCATGCCCCTCTGGGTGCCTGTCAATTGCCTGGCACTTGATCCCGGTGGCCCCAGGCTGGAATTGTGCTCACTGACCCCTCTGGGCCATTTGCAGCATGTCCACACCAGCTAAGTATCAGACCCAGTAGCATCCTGTGTGGCTTTGTTGCCAGTCAGAGGCCCATGACCCTGGCTAAGGGCAGGGCTAGAGTGTGTCTTCCGTAGAGAAGGATCATCCCCTTCCAGCATGGCCAGCCGAGCCTCAATTCGCTCCAGATCATCTGAGCCCACCTTGATTTTCACAGCCAGGAGGTGAATATAGGTTTCATAACGACTTTTCTGGGAGAAAAAAGAGCAGAGAAAAGCCAAAAATGAGGTTAAAGTTCACACAACAAAATGAGAAAAAAATTTATATATTACATAACCGAAAACTTATCCTTAATATTCAGAGACCTCTCACAATCAATAAAAAGAAAATAAACTGTCCAATAAAAACAGACAAGAAACATGCACATAAATTTCACTAATAGTTTTAAGAATCAAAAAAAAAATTGCCAATGGTTTCTTGTGTACAATACCAAAAGCACAAGAAATGAAAGTAAAAACAGACAAATGGGACTGCACCGAAACTTAAAATTTCTGCACATCAAAGAATACAAACTGGGGCTGGGGCTGTAGCTCAGTGACAGAGCGCTTGCCTAGCATTCGTGAGGCATCACATAAAAATAAACAAATAAAATAAAGGCATTCTGTCCATCTACAACTACAAAAAAAAAAGTGAATACAACCAACAAGTAAAAAGGCAATCTACAGAATGACAGAAAATATTTGAAAATCATATATGTGATAAGGAGTTAATATCTCAGATATATAGAGAACTCCTACAACTCAACACCAAAAAATAACAAACAAGCCAATTTAAAAATTAATAAATGACATGAATAGATATTCCTCTGAAAAAGATATACAAATGGCCAACAAGCACATTCAAAAGTTCTTCATGACTAATCCAGGTGTCCATCAGGAGATGAAAGGACTGCTGTCATATATAAATTTTAAAAATTAATTAAAAGATAAAATAAAATATATATAAAAAAGAGATGAATGGATAAAAAAAAACACATTGTATGCGAACAATAGAATATTACTCAGCCTTAAAAAGAAAGGCCATTCTGAAACATGCAACATGGATAAATCCTTTCTTGCTGCGGGGGAAGTACATGGATTGAAACTAGGGGCACTTAACCACTGAGCTACATCTCCAGCCCTTTTTGTGTTTTTATTTTGAGACAGGGACTCACTAAGTTGTTTAGGGCCTCACTAAATTGCTGAAGCTAGTTTTGAACTTCCGCCTCAGCCTCCCAAGCCTCTGGGATTACAGGTGTGTGCACCACACCCGGCTTACATGGATAAATCTTAACATTATGCTAAGTGACATAAGCTAGTCTCAAAAAGACACGTTCTGTATGATTCGACTTATTTGAGATATCTAGAACAATTAAAATTATAGAGACAGACAGTAGACCAGGGTACTGGAGCTGCACATAGGTTAGGATCCTGGTTCCTACACTTCTTAACTATGTTAAAGGAAAGTGCTCTGATTTCCCCATGAAAACCTCCATTTCCCCATCTGAAAATGGGGATAACAACAGAACCCTTTCACAGAGTTGGTATGATGATTATCAGCCAATACAATGGAAGCAAGAAGAAACAGGCCTAGTACTTAGCAAGAGATCGATCTAGCTTTTGCCATCACGATTTTTACACTGCAGAGAGTCAATGTGAGGCTTTCAAAAGCTATCAAGTTTTCTGTTTTTCAAAAGGTCAGGGTCTGCTGGGAAGGTGGCTCCATGGTAGAGCATTTGGGGGGCTGGAGGTGTCAGTGCCTAAGGCTGGGGATGTGGCTCAGTAGCAGAGTGTTTGCCCAGCATGCACAAGGCCCTGGATTCAATACCCAGCACTACAAAAAAAAAAAAAAAAAAAAAATCAGGGTCTATCCTGAGAATCTCCTCTTTCCCCTACACCTCATCAGAAAGTCAATATGGAAATCTAGAGACTGAGATTGGTGAGTTCCTGCCATTTGTGCTCTGGGAACTTCCTGGATCAGTCTCAGGCTTTTCGTCTGTCTGAACACCTCCATCTGCTACTCAGTCCAAAATGGACAAGTGTTTCCTGCCTTCCTTCCTCTGCCTAACACCACCTCCTGGTGATGCATGGTCAGGCCCACCTGTAGAACATCATGAGGTGAATCAAGGTAGTAGAGAGAGACAAGGTGAAAGAAGAAAGTGAAGAAGAAGAGATGAAGTTGTTCTGCTGTATAAACATATGTGCTGAAGGAAAATGGGGCCAAAAGGGTGGGTGGGAGAATCAGGTGGATAGGAGTTGAGTGATTTATGGCTGGTTGTAAAAGCTCCCAGAGAAACTGGGCCTATCTTGGAGGCACAGGTGAGAAAGGATCCTGGAAAGGTGGTGGCATTTCTATTGGGGTTTTTTGAGTGCTCTTAGAAAGACCCAAGGGAAATGCAATAGTTTGATGACCATTTGGCAGCTGGACTGTACAAGACTGGCCCACAGGAACCATGATCCATAAATAGATTACACCTGCCTGAGGTGAGACCCCAAAGTGGGGAACTCCCAAATTAGAAGCCCCTAGCTGTAGAAAGATAGTGGTGGTGGGTGGTGGAGGGCAAGAGCTGGTCTCTTCCCCTGGCCCTGGTCCAGACCCTCCCTATCCCTCCATTAGAGGCCCACCTCGAACGTGAGATAGTGCTCTTTCAGGCGGTATTCTTCAGCCTCCTTGGACTTGAGGCCCCTCTCCACTGGGTGGCACCTGTGCTCAGCCAACTCTGCAGTCACCTGCCTCAACTTGTTCTCATGAGACCGCAGCTGCTCCTCCTACAAAGATAAGCCCTAGATTATGAGGCCTGACTCTCAGATGTCATCAGAGTGGGTCATCAAAGGGAAATAGACTAGCTGGAGTTCCAGCCAGGCTCTGGACCCAAGGGAGAGCGGCTTCCATCTTCCTCCTTCCTCTCCTTGCTCCCAGGAGCACCTACTCTCTATAATGTCCCTTCAGGCTCAGGAGATGAGCCCCTCACACTCATATATGCCCATGCACCTTCCATGATACAGACACAACCCAGACACACTTGTGACTCATTGGAACTCTCGAATGCACACACAGACACACTGAGCCAAGGGTGAGCCTGATCCCAGTTATCTGTGGCTCCATATGACCCATACATTCTCTTATATTCATTCTCAGAAATGCACTACAGTCACAGATCCGGGACCACACTCAAAGATAGACTGAGAGAGATACTGTCACTGACAGACAAGGGCACACACATCCCACCCATCACAAAATAGCCAGGTCCCTTGTACAGTGTGCACATGCAAGTGTGTGACTGTGGCCACACATGTGGGGCACTGCTATTTGCCCCAAAATGAGTGGAACTGGAGGACGTATGTATGAGTGCACTGTGTGTATACACAAGCATGTGTATGCCTGTGTGGTACATGAGTGTACGTGGTGCGTTCACTGCGTATGCATACAGAGGAGCTCTGGGAAGATGCAGAAGCCCCAGAGCTCGGTGGAAAGACTAAGGCCCAATAGGAAAGGGGACAATAGTTGACAAGGTCAGAAAGTTTAGAGCTTCCCCAACCCTCTACCTCTCAAGATCTGGACCATTTATCCTTTCCTCTCCAAAAGTATCCTGAAAACCTGAAGGTACTGATCAGATAAGCTTTTTGCAGAATGACAAATGAAACATCTAAGGATAAGTGAAGACATCAATAGAGCATATTATATAAAAAATTATAACAAATGCAGGAGAAGATGTGGAGAAAGAGGAATGCTGTACACTGTTGGCAGGAATGTAAATTAGTATAGCCTCTATGGAAAACAGTATGATGGCTCCTCAAAAAACTAAACATAGAATTACCATGCAATCAGTGCTCTACTCCTGGGTGTAGAACCAAAGGAAATAAGTCAGCATACAAAAAGAGATACCTGTATGCCCATGATTACTGCAGCACTATTCAAAATAGCCAAGATAATGGAATCAGCCAAGATACCCATCAACAGATTAACGAGATTAAAGATACACACACACACACACACACACACACACACACACACACATACACATACATTTATATACACACATAATTATATTATATGGAATATATATATGTAGTATTCAGCCATAAAGAATAATGAAATACTGCTATTTGCCCCAAAATGAGTGGAACTGGAGGACGTTATGTTAAACGAAATAAGCCAGACACAGACAAACAAGTATCACATGTTCTCTCTCATATGTGGAAACTAAAAGAAAAAAGTGACCTGAAAGTACAAGAGGGATTAGTCCCTAGGCATGGGAAGGGTGCCAGGAAGAGGTATGGTGAAAGCAGAGGGTGGATGGCCATGCTCAGTGTAATATGGAAATATCATGGTGAATACAACGGATCTGTAGAATTAACGTGTTAATAATGCTAATATTTAAAGTAAAAATTAAAACGCACTGGTGAAAGGGCCTGCCAGTGTCACCTGTTCCTGCCTCCCCACGACACAGATGTCCTCTTGTATTCACGCTACATCACACCCACCATAGGGCAAGAAAGTGTGCCCCTGCCAACCACCACAGCACAGCCAGGCCTGTGGGGCATGTGGCGAGTGGCCTTAGTCTTCCCTTCTGGAAGTGGGAGTAGAGGGAGAATATCTGCCCTTCCCTGGAGCCCAGGACCAGGAGCCCTGAGCTGGGATTTGCTGTGGAACGGGAGGCCTGGGCCTGGGGCTGCCCTGGGGAGGTGGCGTCATGATCCCAGGAGCTTGAACCTGGCAGAGGCGAGTGGTGCAGGAGGGCAGCAGGGGCCGACAGAACTTCTTCATGGAGCTGACGGCTGCTGGGAAGGCCGGGGCTGAGAAGATGGCAGCCACCAGGTTGATCCTCAGGATCCAGGACAGCATTTCCTCCTTGCTCCTGGGGACAGGAGGAGATGGGAGAGGGCACCAGCTTCTCACAATAGGAGTCCCTATCTTTCCACCCAGCACCCAATATCCAGCTTTAGGCCTGGCACAGAGAGGGCACTGATTCTTTTTACAGGCAGGGACAGGAGGGAGGGAGGTGGAAGGATGGGGCAGGGGGCTGGGTGGGCCTGGTAGGGAATTCCCTTTCTGTCCCAGCTTCCAGGCACCTGGATTTTTACATGAAAATAAACCTGTCCAAGTCTAGAACTCCTGCCCTGGAGCCCGGGAGTTCAGGAGGTCAACAGTGTTAGGAAGCAAATGGTGGCCCCTCCACTGCCCTCCTGTCCTGTCCCTGCCACCTGCCCAGCACTTTCTTTGATCCTCAAGCCTTACTTACCAGTTGACCCCCTTTTTAGCTCATCTAGCACATGAAAACCCCAACCTCAAATCACAGAAGGATAGCTTGCATCAGAGTGGAAGGAAGGCCTTGCAGGTCAAAGGTAAGGGGGAGTCTTTGCCACCTGAATTTAAATTCAAGATCCCATCATCTCACCCTTCAGGGACCTCCACATGCATTAGCAGCCCCTGCAGAACTTATTAAAGCACAGTGGCTGGGGCCGACCTCAAGTTTCGGATTGAATGGTCTAAGGTGGGGCCAGCACCTAACCAGTTAAGTATTTCTAACAAGTTTCCAAGAGATGCTGAGGGAAACCCTCTTTGAGAACCCAGCTGTTGATCTGTGCCAAGTGAACACACTCATTCTGGGACTCACATGCATGAGAAGCTAAGATGTCTACACCCCACGATAACGGGAGAGGGATGTGTGCAGGGTTGGTGCTGTAGGCCTTGAGCCCAGGTGGGAATGAGGGGCTCCAGCTCATACTTACGGAGCCTGGAAAAGGAAGACCCTCCAGTCTGCTGTCTTCAGTTTGAGCACATTGGACTTCTTGCTGTAGTCAGAGGCCTTGGTGGCTAGCGCGTGATGCACACGAATGGCGTTCTTCAAGTCGCCCTCTGACAGAGCCTTGTCAGGCCGGTACTCATCCTGGCAGGATGGGTGGGGAATGTGCTATCATGGCCAGGCTCTGGCTCACTGCTGCAAGTGTTCCATTCTCACCTCCCTCCATCTTGATCTCCTTCTCTGTCCCTCTATCTCCTTAACGCCCAAGAAGCCCCAATTTGTCCCAGAGGCATGACACTGGGTAGCTACTGAGCTACTGGGCATTTCAAACACCCCTCCCCCAAATCTTCAATGCCCTGAGTAAGCTCAAGCCCTTTGGGGGGGAAGGATCTGACACCTCCCCAAGCCCCAGGTCCTGTCCAGGAGCCCCTGGCCACCACAAGGCAGGGGCTAGATGGGACTGAGCTGGCCCTTCCTAGGTAAGGACTCTAAAGCAGACTCTCACCTTCTGCAGGTACAGGATGGTCCCTTTGAGCACCGCATAGAATTTCTTCCAGCCACGCCTCCCACGGGGTGCTGGGGAGGGAAGCACAGGTAGTGTGTTCACAATCACCCACTCTAACATGTCCTACCTGCCTCCTCCTGCGCATCTAACTGAATGTGCATCCCCAAAGTGGCCACAACCTGATGGGACCCCCTTCTGCCAGTATCCCTCCCTGTGCCCCTTCATCCAGCCTGACACCCACTCCTCTTGCCATCCATGTCGGCGTGAGTCTTCCGGGTCAGCACACCATGCTTGTAGGTGGTGGCGCTGAGAGCCTGTGGAATATCCAGGAAGGGGTTGCCACCATCCAGGATCCGGGTCACCTTCTTTGTTCCTGTCCCAAACTTGTCATCCACCAGCTCAGACAGGGATTTCCTCAGCTCATCTTCGTCACTAGGAAGGTACCAGGCTGTGAGCATCACCTCCATGGAAGCCTCTGCCCCACATTGCCATGGCCTCTCCCATCAACCACCCACTCTAAGAGCCAAGGAAGCCAGAGGGAAAGGGCAGCCGCCAGAGATAGAGATGGGGAGGGTCCAGATCCCAGATCCAGATCTATGACCTCGCTCTTCAATCTGACTGCTGACCTCTGATCTTTGATTTGGGGCCTCTAAACTAATCCTCTATCCTGATGACAAAGTTAGAGACGTTATTGTCTTCAGGTCTCCTTTTCAGTCTTCCTTCTCCTGCCTCCAACCCTGAGAGCCTAACCTGGGAGCACTTACCCAGAGGCAGACTGAAGCTGCTGTACCAACCATGCAGCACACAGGCAAAGAGCAGGCCTCAGGAGAGGCCCCTAAAGTTCAGGCCACCATGAGAGCCCTGATGGAGGAGTGCCAGCTATTCCCAATGGGGTTGGGATCTCTGAGCCTGGGACCTCCATACAGACCCAAAGGCACAGGCTTTTCTGGGGAGAACAGCCGCATGGGCTCCCCTCAAAGCCATTCATAGCAAGGTTGTCACCCCTCTTTCCAGATGTCTGGGCACCTCCAAATCTCACAAGGGAAGAAGACAAGGGCAATTACCCCTCCCCACTGCTAAGAGCAGTTACCCCCTGAAAGTGGTAATATTCTTGGAGTGCTAGGGGGTCTGTGCTTCCTACCTGCCTATTTCCCAAAGGGGAAAGAGCTGTCATTGTTGGAAATTTGGAAATATCCTCAGTAGAGAAAAGTAGTTGCAGACATCATCGAACTAAGTTCATAGTTCAGTCTATTCCATAGCACTGTAAACATCGCATACTCTGAGATAGAAAATGAGCCCAAAAGGAAACTCAACAATGGATGTTGGCCAGTCGGACAGGGGCTGTCAGGGCCCTTGGTTGGGAGAAATCAGCACCATGGAGAGTGGCCAGTGTGCCCAACTGCACTCCTAGCCACTCCCTGTCCCAGTGAAGCCATCTTCCCATACTTGTGCCTATGGGCACTACTCACATGGCCCATTCCAGCTTTTCATTCTTGATGGAGTTGTAAAGTGTCTGGGATGGGGGGAGAGAGAGAGGGAAGTTCAGAAGAAGAGCCAAAGAAATTCCCATCTACCTCCAACAATGAGGGTCCAACAAGGGAACACCTTTTCAGTTAATGGGGCAAAGTGAGTGTTTGATTCAAACTTGTTTGTTGGGTGGATAAATGAGAGCATGGGTAAATGTATGAATGGGTGATATTTAGTTATGTGGTCATTTACTGTCGTATCCCCAGGAGACTGTAAGCTTCGTAGGTCAGGAGCTGTCTATCTTGTTCACCTCTGAATATGTTCTCAACAAGATGATGGTTGATGGGAGAATAAATGAGTACATGAACGAATGGAGGAATGGAGAGACATGAGATGGGTGGACAAGTGAGTGGTTAGTGTATGGGTGAGTGTTTAGGGATGTGTGTGTAGGTGAATGAATGAATGGGTGGGTATATGAGTAGTTGAGTAACTGAGTGGTTGTATAGATGGGAGAGATGCATGGGAAAATGAATGGGTGAATGGAGAAGTAGGTACAAGTATGGATGAGTGGATGGGGAGAAGTGGATAGGTAGAATGCAGTTTGATTTCACAGATATGTTTTATAAGTGCTTCATGATGATGAAGATCATTGTGTTAAGAAGAGAGATGAAGATGATGTTCTCTTTTTTAGTTTAATTTTTAACTAACACATAATAATTGTACATATTTACCAACAGACTCACAATTCAACTACCTTCCTGGTACCACCAGACATAAAAATGCACTATCTAAAAATGATCTCAGTTGGGCTGGAGTTGTGGCTCAGTGGTAGAGCACTTGCCTAGCATGTTTGATTCTCAGCACCATATAAAAATAAATAAAATAAAGGTATTGTGTCCATCTACAAATTAAAAAAGTGTTTAAAGAAATGAACTCATTATCTATCCCCCCTTCCCCTCCCAAAAAAAATGTTTTTCTTTCTTCAAGGTAGAAAACTGACCAAGCTAGAAAAGCCAGAGCTCTGCCCTGGGATTCTAGGGTTCAATCTCAAAAGAAAACTGATTCCCTTAACTTCCGTGATGTTGGAAGAATGAGTGGGCTGTTCTCTGGGGGTGATATGAAGATAATGGAGGTGGTGTTGGTAAAGGAAGTGGTGATGGGTGGCAGCTGTGACCATTATGGTAGTGACGATTTTACTGTGGCAGCAATAATGATAGTTGAAGCAAAACAACACACCTCACAAAGTCAACCCTTCTGCCTAACTCAGGGAATATGGAACAGCCACCTGTTGAGCCAGATGTTCTCTAACTCTGTCCCAAAGTCATGGTGTCCCTGACTCTAGTATTAAGGGCCTGGAATGTCAGGATTTAGTTGAACAGAGACTAGTCTCCACCCTCCCAGGGCATAGCTAGGGGCATGGGAAGCCCCATCAGGTAATACCTTCAGCAGGTCTTTGGCAAAATCTTGGCCGTCATTCAGCTGGTCCAAGTTGGCAATGAATTGCTGGCAGGACATCTTCTTGCCAATGTTCTGTAATGGAGAAACAGTTCTTTCTGAGGGTAAGGAAGGAAAATGGTGTGGTCCCCACACCCTACCCTGCCCCACCAGAAGAGATGAGGCAGCATCAAAGGCAGTCATGAAAATAATACTGCCTGGATTTTCCTTTGTCTCCAAGAGTTTACGAAACTCTTTCACATTCAAGATTCTATTTGATCCTCAAGCATGATGAAAGGTCGGGGTTCTTTTCAAACCCAGATGAAGGAGTCGGGTTTGGATGAAATATTATAATAGTTGGCATTTGTCAGGTGCCTATTATGTTCCAGGTACTCTACTTGACATGCATTATTTTATTTTCTTCTCACCACATGGCAAGGAAACTGAGGTGCAGGAAAGTGAAGTGACATGCCCATGATCACACAGCGAGGAAGTGGAAGGGCCAAGTGTGTCTGACATCAAAGCCCGTGCTCTCACCCGCTCCTCCATGGTTAACTCTCCCAAGGTCACTCAGCACCAGGACTTGAACCCAGGCCTCTTGGCTCCTGAGCAGAAGCTCTGTGTATTCCGCCACAACCGCCTCACCCTCTCACCTGCACAGAGGGGCAGCAAGACCTCCAAAAGGTAGGTGAAGTAAGGGAGAATTTGGTTTTATGAGAGTCAAAAATCAATTTCCACCAATACACATGGGTGCCCCATGCTGAGTTTGGCTGATACAAAGAGAACCTGTGCAGATGGTTTCACTCCTGGAGATACAAATAGAGAGCTGGGAATGACTGTATCCATGAGGTTTGCCTCTTCTTTAACCACTGAGGGACTGGAACCCTCCAAACCCAACACCTGATGTTCACACTGTCAGACTCTCCTTGGTGTGGCCACATTTGAAGAAGCACTGGACGCACGCTTCTTTGTGAGGGTCTGTGGACTTGGGTTTGCTCTAAAACAGTATCTCATCAGTTTTACCTATAGAACCCTGGTATCCCATGAGATTGAAATAGCTATTCTCTCAGAAAAGGAGTTCATTATTAAATAAGTTTATTTATGTGTTTCAGAGTCTTTAATGCTTATGTGTGTTGAAATTCTCCCAAGAGGGGATTCCACATACACTTTCCCAAACTGATTGACCATAGCAACCTTTTAACAAGTAGAATCTATTAACATAATAGGGAACATTTACACACCACAGAAATAATTAGGAAAATAGTGCTGTAAGATTTAATAAGCTGACAAGCAAGTACTTTCCACATCTTTTCAAAGGAGTCAAAGAGAAGGCCCAGTGTGCCTTGATATATGTTTGTTTCATATGTTTCTACATATATTTTACATGTACATATCTGTGTGTCTATACACAAGCATATAGCCACATACACATTTGTCTGTAGTAGAAGAACACAAGAGCCACATCGATAGTACTTGCGTCTGAATTCCACATACTATGAACGTTCTTTAACCATTAGTCAGGAGTGCAAAAATGAAAAGAACTAGGCAAGATTTCTAGTCAAAAAACACAGACTATCTTGTTCCAGAGGAATCTTCCCAATAGAAACAATTGTGGTCGAAAATATTAATAAAACATCAGTGTGCGGGCACTGGAGAAACATAAAAGCCATGAGGACTTCAAGGCTGAAGAACCTTCCAAGAAGGGAGTATGGAGAGGAGAGACCAAGGAGGAGCAACTTTCCTCCCTCAAGCACAAGCAACCCCGAGGCCGAGTGACACTGTGGTTTTATGGGACTGGAGAACAAAATCCGGGACTCAGAGCTGCCAAGGACAAGAGGCCCTGGGAAACTCCCCAGTCATACTTTAACTAAAAAATAGAAATGAAGAAAGGAAATACTGAAGGGAATTCTTGCGTCAGAAGGAGGATCATCCCAGATGGAAGCAGAGAGAAGCAGAAAGGATGAAGAAGAGCGGAAAGAGTAGGCCGCTGACTATTAATGGTGTAGAACAACGATACAGCTTTCTGGGGAATTAAATATAAGGACATATAATAGTTAAAAGCACGATAATAGCAATTTGTAAATTTGGAGAGGGCTTAGTGGTAGAGCACTTGTCTTAAATATGTGAGGCCCTGGATTCCATCTCCAGGGCCACAAAAAAAAAAGGGTTGAAAGAAAAATCAATAGAATTAATGATATCACATTGAACAAGAAGCGGTAAAGGTACTTTGACAATTCAGAGCTATATATCACAAGCTACAAAAAGAATTTTGAGAGCTGGGGATGTGGCTCAAGTGGTAACATGCTCGCCTGGCATGCGTGGGGCGCTGAGTTCAATCCTCAACACCACATAAAAATAAAGATGTTGTGTCCACCGAAAAACTGAAAAATAAATATTAAAAAAAATTCTCTCTCTTCTCTATCTCTATCTCTCTCTTTCTTTAAAAAAAAAAAAGAATTCTGAAAGAATGCACAACTACCAAACTAAAAGGGGAGGAAATGGAATTAAAAAAAAAAATACTTAAATAATCCAAAAGTAGGTAAGCAAGGAGAGGAAAAAAGAACACAGAACTGACGAGTTGAATAGAAAACAATAGTAACGTGGTATACTTAAACTCAAATATGTCATAATTCATTAAATGGTCAAGTTAAAAGATAATTATCAGACTTGCTCTTTTAAAAAGTCTATGATACAAGAGACGTACCTTAACCATAAAGGAACAGACATCACAGGAACAAAAAGATAGAAAAGGATATAACCCTGCAACTAACACAAGAGCAGCAATATGGCTACACTAACATCTTCAAAATAGGGGCTGGGATTGTGGCTCAGTAGTAGGATGCTCACCTACCACGCATGAGGCACTGGGTTCGATCCTCAGCACCACATTAAAAATAAAATAAAGATATTTTGTCCACCTAAAACTAAGAAATAAATATTTTTTTAAAAATCTTCAAAGTAGGTTTGAAGTCAGGAAGCATTACTAGAGGTAAAGAGTGACATTTTCACAATGAAAAAAAGGTCGATCCACCAGAAAACATAATCATCTTAAACTGGTATATACCCATTTGCAGAGCTTCAAAATATAGGGCTTCCCAGGCTGCCCTTGGACTTTGACCTCCTTCCACAGACTCTGCCTCCCAGCAGAAATACGTCACAGCCCATCTGATGACAAGCCCCAGCCCAAGCCCCAGCCCAAGCCCTCTCAGGCCAGGATGGCCAGTTCACTACGTTCACTTCCTTTCCCAGAGTGGAAGCTGGATAGGGCTGGGGAGCTACCAAAGCCATCATCATCCAAGTACTGAAATTTGGTCATACTTTAACCCCACAGAAGCCAGACCTTTCCCCACAGGTCTGGCATGACCTCCCTGAGCAGCAGGGTTAGAACAAGCCTATCCTACCTTTAAATCTCACCCCAGAAGCAGCATGAGGCAGGCCAAGCTGAAAGAAGGCAGATGTCACCTCCCTGAAGGGGGAAGGAAGGAACTGAGCAAAGGCCTCTGGGCAGACTTGCAAATTCTCACTAACCCTTAATTATACTGGCTCTTCCCTGGTGTGAAGTTCTGTCACCACCTGAGTTGCAAACATCCCAACTGCTGATCTTCAGGAAAGCAGCCAAATCCCTGGACTATCCCTGGAGTTCACCAACATCCTGCTCCAACCCACATCACCATCAACTCCACTCTTCAAGAAACCCAAGGTCAGGGCTGGGGATGTGGCTCAAGCGGTAGCGCGCTCGCCTGACATGCGTGCGGCTCGGGTTCGATCCTCAGCACCACATACCAACAAAGATGTTGTGTCCGCCGAGAACTAAAAAATAAATATTAAAATAAATTCTCTCTCTCCTCTCTCACTCTCTCTTTAAAAAAAAAAAAAAATTAAAAAAAAAAAAAAAAAAGAAACCCGAAGTCTGGGGAAACCAAGCTGCTCCTGAAAAACAACTCACCTTGGCTTCAGCTGGGGCTCTCCTGGAGTGGCTCTCTACCCAGGTCCCCTTTCTCTGCCTCCTCCTTGATGGTTCTCCCCCTTGACCCTGCCATTCAGCCCATTAACCAGTGCTGGAGGATGGACATCCAAAATGCCCCCCGAGCTTCTCTCTTCATCTCCATCTCCAGCTCAACCAGGGCTGCCATCTTCTCTAGCTTGGAGGTTGAAAATCACCATTCTCTGACATCCTCACTTTCCAGCTTATCCCAGGATCAACCACCTCCAACACCCCATTTCACTCCCGAAAGTGTACACTCATGACCCTTCTGCTCTCCTTCCAGATCACTCTTCTCTGGAAGGCTCATTCCAGCAATGTTTTGACACTCTGCTGAGATCCAAACATCCCCACTTTCTTTTTATCCCATTTAGATTCTAGGCCCGATTCTTCCACCAACACTTCTAGCTCTGTTGCCCCTTTCTGCTTCTGTCCTATTTGCCTAGGAAAAAAAAAACAGCCCTGATAAAATCCAACTAGTTTCCTACACTGTGGATCTAAGCCCAGTAGAATGGATAAGCTTGGAGAGGAGTACAGAGTCATGCTAACTGGTCCCATTTTATATCCACTACCCAATCCTATAGGCACCAACCCCTCACGACAACATACCACACTTTCCTAGAATATTTGATCTCCATTCTCCAATATTCTCCAATATGATCACACACATCTTTTTCCTTAAGCCTCAATACCCTCATAGCAGATATTATGGTTCTCTCTTTGACCTTGCTCCTCCACTGACACACTTTCTTTTCTCAGCTTCTGAGATGCCACACACTAACTGGTTTTCCTTGGACTTACTCAGCTGCCTCACAGCCCTGTCTGGTCCTCTGCTTACCTCTAAATCACATCAGGCCTCAGAACAAGGCCATCAGCCTGCTTCTCTCCCCAGGGCACTGAGCCAGGCTTCTAGCTTTAAGTTCTATTAGGATGAAAGTGACCACCACTCCCTTCATTTCTTTATACCACTCAACTCTATTGGGCCCTGGATTCATTGATCTCACCACCCTTGTGGTGTCCCCATGTTGATGACCAACAGGCATCTCCAACACAGCATATCAGAAATGGGACTTGAGCTGAGTGCAGTGGGGCACACCTATAATTCCAGCAGCTCAGGAGGCTGAAGCAAGAAGATCTGGAGTTCAAAGCCAGCCTCAGCAACTTAGTGAGGCCATAAGCAACTCAGTGAGACCCTGTCTCTAAATAAAATATTAAAAAAGGGCTGGGGATGTGGCTCAGTGGTTAAGCATCCCTGGGTTCAATCCTCAGTATCAAAAAATAAAATAAGGGACTTGAATTCCACTTCTCCCATCACCTCCACCACAAATACAGGAGACTCTAGAAATGGCACTACAAGTCAGCCAAAGCCATCCTTATTTCTCTTTCCCTAACCAACACCAAGAGCAAGTCCTGTCAGACTCACCCTCAAGAAGTTTCCTCTGCAGCCCCTTCTTTCCACATCTACTACCCTGTTCACCCAGGGCACCATTGTCCATCTCCCAACTGGACACAAACTAACAGTCACAGTTTTGTAGATCCTCAAAAAGTTAAACAAAATGACCACATCATAGAATCCAGCAAGTCCATTCCTAGGGGTAGGCCCAAAAGAACTGAAAGCAGTTGTTCAAACACAAACTTGCACACGAATGTTGGTAGCAGCTATTGACAATAGGCAAGAGGTGAAAAACATCCTTCCTGACCCCTTTGCCTGGACCATTTTGTCCCAAATCTTTCTGTATCTAGCTCCTTCTGGTCCTCCAGGTCTCAGGTCAAGCTTCCCTGGCCCTAGTCCACCCCCACCACACTAGTTTATTCCCGTCCCAGACCTACAACTACTTGCAATCATTTGTTCCCCTGGACATTGCCCACATCTTCTAATTAGAAGGCAGGTGACCTGAGGGAGAGTTTCCTTCCTGCTTCTTCACAGAACACAGAAGGCACTCAGCAGCCAGGACTGCCATTGAGCCTCCAACCTCCAGTCCAAATGCCCCTCCTACAGGAAGCCTTCCTGAGCCCCCCCCCAGGCTATGCCCATCCAAAAAAAGCGCACCTACACGCTCTGGCAACCCGTTCTGCCTTCTTCTCTGACCAGAACTCTTCCCGGGGGCACCAGCAGGGTCCACATTCCTGAAATTCCCCCATCCCATGAGGCACTCAGTTCCTATCTGATAAGCAGCAGAGGGAGAGGAGAGGCGAAGACTCACAGCCCCTGCAACCCTCAGGCCCTGGCCCAAGCACTCCACATGTGCTATCTCTGTTCCTCCTCAGTGGGAGACAGAGGCTAAGTGAGGTCAGTAGCTTGCTCCAGGCCACCCAGCTGTCACATGGAGAGATACAGAGAACCTGACCTGGAACCTGGCTTCTAGTCATTGGGCAACACTGCCTCTAGAGAAATGTGTCTTCCCACAGCCAGGATGAGGATCCTAGCCCACCCACTTCTGATCTGTCACGCCTACTTTCTCCTCAACGGAGGGTTAATGGGGGCCCATGGCCAGCTAAGGCCCACTACACTCCAGGTGTGCTCTACCTGGGGGCTCACTGAGCAGCAGCTGCTGCCCTCATGAGCAGCTCAGCCGTGGGGAGGGACATCCAAGGCTGGGCCCAGGGTATGCCCTCAGGCAGGCCAAGAGTGGAGACAGGAATGGAGCAGTGTGTTCACTACTACTTTTAGAGTAACTAGCAATACCCACTCTCCACCAACAGGGGGCAGTCTCAGGAACAGTGCTGGTTCCTGGGCATCAGCCCTGGTGACCATCACATAGAATACATTCATCTTCTCTCTTGTTCCACACTCAGGCCAAGGCCCAGGCTAACTTCCCCCAAGTTGTCACACATTAGCTCTTCCCGATGAGGGCACCCCGAGGCCCTCACCCTCCCCAAGCCAGTGCCCCAACAGGGCACAGCCCAGATTGCTCCTCCCTTCCCCATGCTCAATTGCCATCAGGCTGCACCCTGCACAGTGTGGCCCTCCAAGGGTCTGTAGGTCACCATCATTTAAGTTTTAATATTAATAATGAATGCTATCATCCTGACACTTGGTGTTGTGTCTAATTCTCTTCTCAGGACTTCCCAGGATACTGTGACCCACACCACCAGATGCAGAACCTGAGGTCTGGTGACTTGCCCAGGGTCAAACAGCTGCCACATTGAAGCAAGAGTAGGAGTTGAAGATGGGCCTGTCCCAGCTTTCTTCCACCCCATATTGCCTGAACTTCCCTAGTTAACTCTAGAACCAGACATGCTGGCCTGTTGTCCCCAAGTCACTAAAATATCCCCCAACCCAACAGGGTGCTCTGACCACCCCTGGGTCAGCAATGACAGGGAAGGGATCAGATGGGACCAGATTGATGTGATGGGGACACAGAAGGGTGGCATGGTGATGGGGGTCTAGGCACACAGGGCATGCACGCCACTAGCTACACTTACCACCTGAGGAAGGGCAGGAGAGCCCAAAGAGGGTCCCCGCAGCAGACCAAGGAAAGAAGAAGGAGTTAGTGAGCCAGGAGAAACACTGAGGCCACCTGGGGCTGGGCCTGACCCAGCCTCACAGCCGGGCACCCCACACCTGTCACTTCACTCATTGGCCTGGTGGAGTGAAGGAGGGAACAAGAATGCCTCTTGAGAGTAACCTACCATTGATGGCGAGGGCTTCCCGGGCATGGCATTTCAGTGAGGTGGCATTGGCCTTGCTGACGAGGGTGGGGGGGAATACACTGCTTTTAGCAGCAAGTGGCATGGGCCCAGCTAGGGGCACACATCTTACCTGGCATACCCTCAACTCCCGTATGACTCAACTGTTCTCACCATCCTGTTTAGGGGCCAGGACCCAGGAAAAAACTAGGGCAGAGACAAATCTAGAAGCCTAGTTGCCAAACTCCCAGGACTTGCTAAAAGAAACACAGTCACTGAGAAAGAAGTCTCAGGGAGGGAACTCGGTGAAGGGTCAGGCTCCGATGACTCAGAGTCAGTCAGCGCAAGGACGTCCCCCAACTCACGTGTCCGTGCAGGTCCGTGTTGAGCAGCATCAGAGCACAGGTGAGCGTGTGGATCCCATCTAAATCACAGACAGTGGCATTCTCAGTGTGACGATCCGGGTCATTCCCACCCCAGCTTCCCACCTGTCTCCTGATAGCGCCCTCCTGGAGGCCTTGGAGACAGGAAGAGGCCAGTCGCCTGCCCGAGACACTCAGGGCCAGGGGCTGCGTGATGCTGCCTGACCACCACATTGCAGTGTCAGAATCATTTGTCTGCCTCCTGTCAGGACCCTCACGTCCCTCAGAGGAAACCTGACTGCCCTGGTTCTGCTCCAGCCCAGACACCTGCCTGCTATCTCCAAATTCACCTTGAACCTCAGACCCAGCAATGGCTCTGGGTCCTGGGCCATGTACCTGACTTGACCTGTGTCTCTTCCAATAAGAGACCTTGTTCCTCAGTTTCTAGGACTCAGGTCTATCCACAGGACAAGTCCTGCACCTAAGATGGTCCCCATGCAGAACTTCACGTACCAGGACCCCCACCACACCAAAAATCACCATTGTGACAGAGTCTGGAAGCATGAAGACCCGAAGGACTAACCCTGTAGGATGGAGAGTTTTGAGGTGCTGGGAAAGACAATGGGCAAGATATCTGGAGCTCTCTTCCCAGCAGGCAGAGCCCACTCCATGTGCCATCAATTATCTATGCAACGTTAATTGAGCACCTACTGTATTCCAGAGCAGACAGACCATCTGGGCCTGGCAGCAGGGAAGAGTGGCAGGAAATCTGGGAGGGAGAAGGCCAGGCCTGGCATGGGCAGGGTGGGTGGGTGGGGCAGAGGAGACACCTGCCATACCTTCCGAGGTACTGTCATCAGGGTTGCACTGGCAGTACCGGCGGGAGAAGTGTGTCAGGACCCGCTCACGCTCCTGTGTTTCCCCCATCAGTGGGAATGCCTTCAGGAAGGTTCTAGAAGGTAATTCAAAGCTGCTGAGGGTCTCTCAGAATCCCCACCTCAGTCTGGGTACTCACCCTGGGTAAAAGCCCCAACATGGCACACACACCTACAACTTGGGGCAGGTTGTGAAGAATAAATAGATGCGTGCCTGAGACCCACTCCTCACTCCTCCTCCGTGGTGGGGCCCAGGCTATCCACACCTGCCATTCAGAATAATCTTCCTCGGTCATTCCTGCTCCTCTGTATGCCCTGGGCTGAGCCCCAGGCTCCCTCACCCCCTCACTCTTCCCCCATCCCAAGTCTAAGCTGCCACCAAATCCCAGGGATCCGTTCTTCACATTCAATCTCAATTCCTCCTCCTCCCCCACCTCATCACATGCCCAGGCCACCCGCAACACCCTCCCTGTGGGACTCCTGCACCTCCCAGTCCCTGCAGACACTGACTCAATAAACACAAGACAGTCAAGACCTGCTGGACTTAAAACCTGCCACTGGCTCCCCAGAACCCTCAGGGTAACACCCAAGTCCCCCACACCATGGTCTTGTGATTGCCCCAGCTCCCCTCCTGTCTCTCCAACCCATACCCACCTGCTGCCTCTCTAAATTGTCCCCATACCCTAGACAGGACAGGTATTTCCACTGCTTGATGCCTCTGATCAGACTGGGGTCCACCTGGAGCATCCTTCCCACCTTTGCTGAGAAGCTCTTAATCTCCCTCAAGTTCAATTCCAAGGTCACCCACCTCTTAGAGGCACCTTTTGGGAAGCTGATCCCAAAACCAGAGGAGCTGGGAGATGGGGCTAGGGTTTCTCATCCAGGGCCTGGGAACGCCAGTGCAGACTAACCCAGTTTGGACCTCTGTCTGGGTTCACAAGAAGGATTGCTCCTAATTTTGCTATGGTTCATTTGATTTCTAGCCCAAAGCACTTATAATACCCACTTGGCTATATTCTTTATGCTGGGCCTGGCAGCAGGAGAAAGTGGCAGGTAAATCTGGGTGGGAGAAGGCCAGGCCTGGCATGGGCAGGGTGGGTGGCTATACTCTTACGCTGCCTCCAGAGGTCCCCTGAGATCTGAGCCACACCTTGACTATCCAAGGTTTTCCAAGGCATCCCAAACTGAGGACCACTCTTGAAATTTAATCCCAGGCCATCAACTGCTATGCAATCTACTCTCCTATCCTATATCCATCTCCTCTTCTCCCTGTCCCTCCTGCTCCCTGTCCTCTGCCCTGATTTGTTCCTCTCCCTCTTCTTCTCATACTCCATTAGGATTTTCTAAATTCCAGTCCCCTTCCCAGCTTGAGCCTGTGCTACCTAAGAGGCATCCATACTACCTATTTCCCGGACCACAGTCCCTGTTGAGGGCTCTTCACTAAACCCCAGCCCAACACCACACCACCAAATTCTCCAGCTATCCCTAGGCTCGGCCCCACCACTGCCCACCTCTCCCCATCTCAGGACCTGCAGCCCTCTACCCTGTCCTCTGAGCAGCCTCACACACTTTCCCCGCTAGCCCTAGGGCCTGCCCACAGGCCTTGTCCTCTTGTCCTCCACCTCATGCTCTTCAGAAGCCTGCACACGACTGGATCAAAGGCTGCCAGCATCGCTTTACATTCAGCACCTTCAGGGCTCCCCAGTGCCTGTGCAGTAACGCCTCACTCTAAGGGGCTGGCGTCTGAGGCCCTCCAGTCCAGCTGCCGTGCCTCTGATCAGGAGCTGATGCCACTGAACACTTTCCCTCCCATCCTCCTCACTGTGTGCAATCTTCAAGACTCAGCTCAGGATAGAGCAGCTGTTCACTGTTCTCAGTGGAAGCAGTGCATTTTCTTAAGCTTCAGGAGGCTGCTGAGACCATCAAGACCACAAAGGCCAAGGTCCCGAGAGAAGAAGACTTGGGGTATGTAGGTTGACCAACTGCCACTGCTCTTCCCTAGGGGCACTGCTGACTAAGGGTACAGACAAGGGGCAAGACATTGGGTGGCTTCATGGGACTGGAGAGAGAAACCTGGAGACTTGGGGGACTATAAACATTATAGCAAGACATTTGCCAAATTTTGAAGATTTGAAAGTAGGAGGCTAAAAAGCTCAACAGACAGTCTCTAAGTGGGGGGGGGGGGGGTGTTGCTTTTGTTTCTATGTTTTTGCTTTTGGCAGTCTTGCTGCACTGAGACAAAATGAGGAAACCACCAAGGTTTCCTTCCGGGATCTTCACCCCGTGATCTATGCAGACCCTGAGCCATACCAGGCTTTGGCACTCTCCTCAGTCCAGCTCTGGCTACAGTAGGACCACATCACCATGCTTCCCTCCTCTAACTCCCTAGCAATAGACTTGGTGAACCCTCTTTGGAATAATACAGATTAATCTTGAGCCACCATAGTTCTATTCAAAATATGCAGAATCTAATTTTTAAATTACTAAGCATGCAAATAGATAGGATAGATGATAGAAAATCAAGAGAAAAAACAGACAATAGAAACAGGGACAAGTGATTCAAATGATGCAGATATTAGAGACAATAGACAGGAACTTTATTCTATCATGCTCAAGATCAAAGGGAAAAATGAAAAAAAATGAATGAAAAGATGGGAAATTCACCAGAGAATTAGAATTTCTTTTTAAAAGTTTCAATAAGATGGAAAATTCTAGAACTGGAAAATATGATGACAAACTAAAAACTCAACAAATAGGTTTGATGGCATATTGAATTCAGGGAAAGGATAAGTGAACTGGAAGAAATACCCCAACCAAAACAGAGAAAAAAGAATAGAAGTTATATTTTGTAAAAATATAAGACAGGGCTGGGGACATAGCTCAGTTGGTAGAGTGCTTCCCTCACATACAAGACCCTGGATCAATCCTCAGCACCACAAAAAAAAAAAAAAAAAATTATAAGAGACACATGGACACAGTAAAAAGGCCTAGCTAAGACTATCCACTCTTAGCTCAGAGACTGCTCTCTATCCCTCCTAAGGCCTGGTCTGCATCCCCCAGCTGGTCCCTACCAGAGCTTGCTGACCCTGGGCTATATCCACCCATCCCACCCCTCCTGTTCCCTGGACCTGCACCTGGCCCTCCTAGGGCCTACTCCCTGGGTTCAAATACCAGTAAGATCTGAGATCAAATCCCCCTTTCATCATCTTCTCCTCAAAGATGGTGGGGAGATCACGCCCACCTTGCAAAGCTGCTAAGGACCAAGTGTGGCACATGGCAGGCAGGAAGTTTTCACAGAGGCAACCCTTTGCCTCCCTCTCCTAGAGTCACGATATTAGAGACAATAGACGGGAACTTCCCACCTCTGTATCCTCAGCCCAACCTGAGGTGCTGCTCTGCTGCTGCCCTTGCAGCCTCACTAAAGGGTTCGAGAGACTTGTACAAGGTTGCACAGCAGTTTCTGATACAGCTGGGATGAGAATCCAGATGTACTGCCCATACCACCTGTGAACACTGTCCCATCCCAGCCCCACTGACCTGAGTGCTCGGTCCAAAGTGAGGCCTGAGAAGTCAAAGAAACTGAGGTACTCCCCAGCCACCAGCCTGCTGAACTCGTTGCTGCAGGGAAAGTATGAGAAGTCAATTAGAAGTAGGGTCCATCCCAAGGATGACAGAACTACAGGGGGACTTGGCTTCAGAGTACTCTGACCCACCCTCCCACATCTCCCTATCCCTAGGCTGCCTCCCCAAGTGGCCAGTCAGGCTTGTTGTTCAACCTTGGGCTGGGAGATCAGGAGGGCTTCCTGGAGGAGGTGATGTCTCAGCCAACACTGAAAAATGCTACCTGGTGCAAGGAGTGGGGGATGGGATGATGCCAAGTGTTCCCAATGGAGGAAACTGCAAAACACGTCCAAGATGCTACGACAGGGATGTATGGCCAGAGCCTGGAGAGCAGGAACAGGGGAGGTAAGAGATGAGACAGGGAAGAGGGCTGCAGCTCAAGGGAAAGGATGTGATTCTGGGGGTCGGAAGCAGGGCAGTCAGATTCGTATTTTGGAACACTACCTGCTGGGTAGAGGCCCCTGGTCTTGGACAACTTGTTGTCCAAGAAAGAGATGGGAGAGACGGGGAGAAGACTGAGGAGGTAGAGGCTGAGTGTGTGTGGTGCACACCTGTAATCCCAGCAGTTCAGGAGGCTGAGGCAGGAGGATCACAAGTTCAAAGCCAGCCCTAATCAACTCAAGACCTTGCCTCTAAATAAAATATTTAAAAGGGCTGGGATGTGGCTTGGTGATAAAGTGCCCCTGGGTTCAATCCCTGGTACAAAAAAAAAAAAATTATGGAGGCAGAATCCACCAAAAAGGGAGCTAGAATGGGGGTTTAGCATGACTAAAACAGTGAAGATGTCAGAGCTCAGGACAGGGACAGCGCTGAATGGATCCCTGGGAGAGTCACCACTCCATGGTGGTTAATAATGATTTGCAGTGGGAGCTGAGCCCACAGGAGAAGAAGGTGCAGAGTCAGGGCAGCCAGCCCAAGGCAGAGCTCTGATGAAAGCTAAAGGAACAAAGAGAGAAGCAGTGAAGGAGACGGAGGAACACAGGCAGAGAAGAGGGAAGTGTTGTTCAGGAGGCCACTGAAGAACGTGTCCCAAGACTGGAATGAAGGAACTCTTGCCACCTGATTCTAATCAAGCCTCAAGCTCTCCCTCCTGTTAACAGGACCCACAGGAAACAGAGGAACCTGTGAAATAACACCATGAGGATACTACATCCAAAAGGTGGAAATTTTTCCAGAACCACTGGCTCACTTTCTTCTACAAATATATAGCACATGGAAAAGGAAGGAGAAGCCGGGCTCGGTAGTGCACACTTGCAATCCCAGCGGCTAGTGAGACTGAGGCAGGAGGATCTTGAGTTCAAAGCCAGCCTCAGCAATTTAGTGAGGCCTAGAGCAACTCAGTGAGACCCAGTCTCTAAATAAAATGCAAAATAGGGCTGGGGATGGGGCTCAGTGGTCGAGTGGGCACTCAAAGTTTGAACTCAAAGTTCAAACCCGGGTACCATTAAAAAAAAAAAAAAGAAGAAAAGGAAGAGACTCTTGACCGCTGTAGATTAAACAACATTTAGAAATCACAGGGCTAGATGCAATGTGGCAGACCTCCTTTGGGTCCTAATTTGGACAAACCAACATTTTAAAGACACTCAGACAAAATTAAACACAAACTGAATTTAGAGATAATAAGAAATTTTTGCTATTTTTTTTGCAATTATAATGGAATTATAATTACATAGAAAGACTCTGATCAGTTAGAGATATACATTAAAGTGCTTAAGGATCAAATAATGGAGTGTCTGAAATATATTTTAAAATATTCCAGCAAATGGAGGGAAGAAGCTGCAGGGTAGTAGATGAAATGAGAATTTTAAAATATTGATAACTTTGAAGCTGAGTAAAATGAGTGTGTGAAGATTTAATATATTACTTTCTCTGCTTTTGTGTATGTTTGAAATTTCCACACTAAAAATGATACTTTAAAGAAATAAAAAGGAGGGCTGGGGCTGAGGCTCAGCGGTAGAGCGCTTGCCTAGCGCATGTGAGGCACTGGGTTGGATCCTCATCACCACATAAAAATAATAAAATAAAGGCATTGTGTCCATCTATAACATA